ACACAATCCACCTCACTGACGTCGACGGAGACTATGACGACTACGACGGGTACTGAGATAGTGACAGCGACACAGGCAGCCACCCCGTTGACAACTTCGACACCGACACTGACACAGACAGCCGGGGTGGCAGCGACAGTGCCAGTGGCTCCCACCGACACGATCCTCTCCACAACATCGTCGTCGATGTCAACGCCGACCACGACCACGACCACAACCACAACCACAACCAACACCGCCACCGCCACGATGACCACGACGCCGGAGACACCGACGGTGACTCCAATGACGATGGCGACGATGACCAGCCCACAATCAACCGCTGCTCCATTCGGTAGGTTCACATTCCCAAGGAGATTAGTGTCTCTCGGACACTGACTGTGAAACGCGTGTTTGCATGTCACGAGTGATTGTGGTGTGCAGTGTGATCGCTTGTCTATCAGGCGAGTGTGACAGAGTTGTGATGTGCACACTCCCGGTTTCACTAGTCGGTCGACTGCCGGCCAGTCGTCCAGTCTCACCAGCGTCTACACCTATGCTTGTCCACTCCTCGATGGATTGAGTTCCGAGACAGTTTCATGTGTTCGTGTGCGTGTTCGAGTGCGTGTGTTTGTGTGTGTGGGTTCGCGTGGGTGTGTGGTTTTGTTTTTCGTTGTGTTTGTGTTAGTCTTTCCTGATCATCTTGGGTACCGTCCCGGCTCACTCTATCTCCACTTTATTTTCTACAAGCTGTCATTTCTCTTTTCTTGCAATATATGACTATATATTATATAGTGCTTGCATATTTTTTTGAACTTTTTTCAATCTGATTCTTTTTTTTAAAATTTTTGTTGTTTTTATTCAAATATCCTAAACTGATTGCCTTTTTCATGTAATTTTTTGTTTCTTTTGATGCTATTTTTATTTGTTTTCTAAGTTTTTATTATATCTGCCAGGTTTTTTATCCTACATAAGTTCTCTGATATTCCTCATTCTTGCTGCAGTGCTACTAATGCTTTGAATTCCATATTGTTTTCTCAATTTTATTACCAAATTTATTTTTTCTATGGTTCCTCGTGCACTTCTGAATAAATTCTTGTGGGTAGTTATTAACCAGCAATATTTTATTTTTTGGTTCAACTTCAGCATTTAAATTTTCTCGCTTACTGGTCAAGCTCTTGGCCTGGTTATACAGATATCTATCAAAGCCTCTCTTCACCCATTCCGGATGGGGTGAATTAAAGTCTAAGCATTTATTACAGCGTCTCGGCTTTCCATAATTGCTAGTATCTAACTCACCATCTTCTTTTCATTTCATTCTACAGTCTGGCATGAACAAATCACCTTGTTCGTTTCCCAATTCAAAAGTATTTTGGATCCTGTCTACTGTTGAGTTTATGTGTATGAAAATATGGGGGAGTACATACAGATCTCAGCGCAGTAAATGTGTCATCCACATATCTCCACCATAACCTAGGAGCAATAGAATGAAGCTTTCTGAGAGTTTTATGTTTTCGGCTGTCCATGAATATGTCCGCTACTAATGGGGTATATTGGTGATCCTATTGCCACCTCTTCGTGCGTTTGTACCATTTATTCTGAAATTTGATAACATTGGAGGTTAGGTATAACTGAACGCATAATATTATTTCATCAACCGAGAGCTTAGTTCTACTTCTGGGCTTCGGATCAATGTTTAGTTCATTTCGAGCTGCCTCTACGGGTGTGCAAGTGGAAACGATACCAAAACAAATCAATTTTTCATTCTTTTCTAATTGAGTTTCCCGTAGATTCTGCCTCATTTCATGGGAATTAGTTAGCCTAGAATATGACCAAACACTATTGGGGCAAAAAGCTGATTTGAACACGAAAACATGAGTAAGAAAAAAACAAAAAAACAAACAAAGAGAAATCAAGTAAAACACGACAGAAAAGAATATAAAATATAAGATAATGAAAACAAAAACACAGACAAATAAAAGAAAATTACATAGGAATGGAAAGATAAGACACATACAACAGACGATAAAAAAATTACCAGGCCCAAATGAGTGTTTCATTAATCCTTTCCTTCCTACTTGTAGTGCCAACGATGTTGAACGTGGAATTCGTGGTCTACATCGAGGAGCTGTCAACACCGATGCGTTGGTCGGACAACCTGACAGATCCGTCGAGTTCTGAATTCAGAAGCCTGTCGAATTCATCTTGTGACCTGGTAGGTGTGGAGTGGTTATTACGCCTCGGTATCACTATACTTATATCAGTGTGGCTGTGTATCTGTTATCTAGTTTCCCTTTCGCTTGTGAAAACAATAGGTTAAGTGGTGTTTGACGGTCGAGCGTAGGCGACGTGAGTGTACGAATCTTGGGTTAGGTGTCGGTTGCTGTGAATGAAACAAGCGCATGGGTGATATTCTCCGTGTGATGAGTGGAAGGGAACTGGTTGACTGAGTTGTTTGAGTGTAGGCGATTCGACAGAGAATAGTAGAGACGGAGTGAGTAGGACGAGTTGTTATTGCATTCTGAGTTGGAGAGGGCAGTGTGGAGTACACTGATTGTTATAGGATGCAGAGGAGTGTGTCTGGGAAGTGTGAATGTCTGCGTCGATGAGGCATAGAGAAGCAGGATTATTGTCTGAGTAAGCAGTTGTGCGTGTGACTGGTTCAGTGTTGAGTGAGTTCAGCTGCCATTCTCGGAGGTGAAGTTTCGATTTCACCAACCCGACTGTGGTGATTTGAGTGGTGAAGACGTCGGGAATCTGACAGGCTTCTCTGTGTCAGAAGATCTGTCCTCGTGGTAACTGGTGAGAAGCCTGTTCACACTAATCAGCATAATCACGTCAATCGAAGTGGGAAGGGAATTCATGATAGTACACAACCATTTGATATGAAGGAAGCATGACTGATTGCGCTTACCTTCTGATTCTCGTCTTTTATCTTCCAGCTGCTACGATGCCTACAACTGGCTGACGAAGAGATATCTCGAGGTGCCACTTGTGTCAATGTCGTCTTCATTCGAATCCTTATCTGGATTGGGTTGAGTGTTGGGAACACAAGCACGGGAATTGAGCATGTGTCAATGGACGGTGTGCGAGCTGTTGTGACCGTTGAGCTGCTCTCACGGAAGGCCGCAGAGCTGAGTGACGATGATTTCACAGATTTTCTGATCCAGGGTTTCAGCAGGCTGAATATTTCCAGTGGACCGAGTCTGAGAAACGTCACATCATATCGTGAGTCACTAGTCATTGTGTTTTGCGCATGTAATGGTGGATTTGAATGGAGTGTTGTGCTATGCAGTGAGACAGGTGGCGTGGGGTTAATTTTACCATCCCGCCTGTCTTCAGCATGTTCTTCTCACTTGTCGATTGGACTGCTGGCTTTCTGTCCACTCGTCCACTTGTCCGTGTGTGCGTGAATGTTTGCCTGTGCACATGTGTGCTTGTGCTTGTGCGTGTGTTAACACCGACATGGGAATCAGGCGTGGGAATGATGAGTGAAAACGACTGTTTCGTCTGGTTCGATATGACTGATGGATAGCTTTGTTTGATGGGATGGAGGTGACGACCATGTGGTTTGAACGAGGTGATGGTGAGAATGATGACTTGTTGCTGTCTGTTGTGGAGCTTTGTGTTCGTGATGCCACGTGATCGCGGTGACACAGATTGTGAACTCATTTTGAGATGTTTTCGAAGTGATGACGAGTAGTTCAATCCTAATTCTCTGTGTATGTGTTGTGTTTTTGTTTTATTTCTACTGCCGCACAGGTTCGTCGGCAAGAATTTCAACTGTGCGGAGCACACCTGAGCTGAGTGATGCCAGTATCTCAAGACAGTTCACTACACCATCATCGACTGCCACAAGTTTGGGTAGGTTCACAGTTTCCCAGTCACATTTGTTTCGTAGACACTTCGACATGCATTTGCACGCGAAAGATGGATGTTTTGTCAGGATTGAGGGGACTAGAGTCGACTGGTGTGATGATTGATGCTGATGTTGTAAGTGAGTGCGTCTTCGCAAATAGAATGTGAGGTGAAGCCTCGTAGTCAACACTGACTTCATGATGGTTGCTTCTTTGTGTTTGTGTTGTTGTTGGCCTTGTCGTTGTCGTTGCTGATGCTGCCGCTGCTCCTTTTTTACCTGATGTTGATGAAAACTCAGATTATTTCTCTCACAACATATATGACACACGTTGATTATTACCGTGAAATTCCCTTTTTTATTGTGTTAAATTTATAATATATTCGATTAGTTTCTGAATGATTTCAGTGAATAATAATGCTAACTTTGTTTTATGTAACAAATTGAAAGTATTTTATGCACGCGTCTGGTTACACATGTCTATCGAATCGCAGGATGTGATCGCTCTCTCCCACACTGTCGGCATGAAGTTTGATAATGTCACATCACGTGCATCCATGATAGGACGCGATATCCAGCGAGTGAGTGAGTGATTGAGGTAGTGACTAAGTGAGTGAGTGAGATTTGTGTGTGTGTGTGTGTGCGTGCATGCGTGCGTGCGTGCGCGTTTGGGTGTAGGTGTCGGTGTGCCTGCGTCTGTGGTTTGTTGTGTGTTTGTGTGACTTTGTATTTGAGTGTGTGACTTGCAGGTGTGTAGGTGTTTGTGTATGTAGGTGTGCATGCATTAACGTGTGTGTTTGTTTGCTTTGTTCACCTGTGCACAGACGCCTCCACAATCACCACGACATCGAGAAGTAGCGTCGAGCACACAGGCACAAGTGTCTCCACACAATCCACCTCACTGACGTCGACGGAGACTATGACGACTACGACGGGTACTGAGATAGTGACAGCGACACAGGCAGCCACCCCGTTGACAACTTCGACACCGACACTGACACAGACAGCCGGGGTGGCAGCGACAGTGCCAGTGGCTCCCACCGACACGATCCTCTCCACAACATCGTCGTCGATGTCAACGCCGACCACGACCACAACCACAACCACAACCAACACCGCCACGATGACCACGACGCCGGAGACACCGACGGTGACTCCAATGACGATGGCGACGATGACCAGCCCACAATCAACCGCTGCTCCATTCGGTAGGTTCACATTCCCGAGTGGATTATTTTGCCACTTTTTTGATGCTGTTTTTTTTTGTTCCGTTTGTCTTTTTTTGATTGAGGGCGTTTTTCTTTTCTTTTTTTGTTTTGTTTTTTGTATTATTTCTCCTTATTTTTTTTTGTTCTACCTCTTGTATATATATATGTATAAATTTATATATTTTTCTTCTGTCATTAATCAGAATTTTTTAAATTTTTGTTCGAATTGCCTACTCATTTTTCCTAATTATCTTCATGTCCACTTTTATTAGTTTTATGAGTTTCCTATTAATTTTTTGTGTAGGTATTTTCTCATATCATTTATTCTGGTCATTGTTTTCACCTGTATCATAAGTTTCATACTCGTTTTCGAAATTTTTCGCTTCACTTTAGTATTTTCATGGGTCGGAAATTTCATCTAATTCTTCCTTCTATACTTGTTTTTGTTGATTTTACTGTGACTTCTTTGTGTTCTACTTGAATTTTTTATCTCTCTTAACATTTTAATTATTTGGTCAGACTTTATTTGTATTTTCCCAAGCATTTCATTAGTTTCTATGGAAAATATTAATCCTCATTTACTTATTGATGCAGATATGCACAAATTAATCTTATTTGTTCTCCCTCTAGAATTTAATATTTCCTTAAATTCTTTTAAATCATAAAGTTTTTTATTTTTGTTAAAATGATTACTCATTCGTACACTTCGCAGCTGATCTTTTAGTTTTTTTTGCATTGGTTTCAACATTTTAAATGGATGTTATCCTCTTACTGTATAATGGTGTTATCCTTTTATTTGATTAATAATTTTCACTGAATAAGACAATTTGAGAGATTAGATTGTATGGTAGTTGGTTGACGCTGGTCCCACCATGTTGTATCGAAATACATGATCTGCGTAGACCGCATCAATCAACAGGAAATGCAAATCAGCCTAAACAAACCTTTATGATTATGAATGTCGGTGGCACAGCAGTTAGGACGCTCGCTGACCACGCACATGGTTCGCGGTTCGATCCACGGCCGACACACACCTGATAGCAATGGTCGGCCTGCTAAATTTGGGCTGCCGATTTCACATGTTGAGAATTCTATAGCTGTACCAAAAATACTGTGTTCAATCACGCTGTAATGTGAAAATTTAAAGTTTGAAGTTTAAAAAAGTCGTTCTTGATACTTAATCCCTTTCTGTATATTGCTATACCACTGTGTTATTCCTAGGTGACTTCTTTAATAAGATGCCCGCTTATCACTGATATATCCTTGTCTTCAACTGAACAGAATGTATGACTTCATCTCAATCACAGCGTTCATTGATTTGTTAATTCCTTTTGTTTCTATAAAATTACATATATAACAATTTCTTACCTTCTTTCAGTTAATACATCATTATCGATGAATACTGAAAAGATCAATCTTACCTTGGACACAACAACCTTAAATATTTCCAGTCCAACAACAAATCCACCATCTCTATCAGATACAGTTTTCATCAGCAGAGGTAAATGTTTATTGTTGCACTTATAATTCATATTAGTTTGACGTCACGCATACATTAGCTTCATTTAAACTTCTACACCTATGAAATAAGAAATCTGTGTTATTTCCAAACCGAACAACTTAAAATACATCCAAGTTTTATTTTATCTTCAATCCAAAAGGAATGTGATGGTGAAAATAGAGAGTCACAATATGTGGGAGCTGTATGTACGAGAGATACTGAAACTCCGTATGACACTATATGACTAAGACGGAAGGGGAAAAAAGTACTGCATGTGTGAGAAATCACCCACTTTCTGTACAAAAATAGAAGAGTTTTTTATTTTTACTTAAAAAACATTTTGATCCAGTATGACCACTTCACCTGGCACAATTAGTTAATCTGGATCTAATTAAATTCCTACGATCTAATGACCTAAACAACCTCAATATAACAGTTAACCCAATGTAGCTGATCTCACAGTTATTACAAGGTACCTGGCAAATCATATTACCTTCTTCTGCTAGAATCTGTCGGCTCCTTCAGCAGATAAGTTTGTCTCTGGGTGAATGGGTTGGTTTATATTAACCATTTTATTTCCAGTCTCATTAAGAATCCTACGTTGAGCCTCTGATATCCATGCTTTATGTGGTAGTACATTTGCGACTTTAAATTCAATATTATCTACACTATTTCCACCATATCTCTTGCTTATCTTAATTTTCTTGACAATCTCTAAACATTTTTGAATAGAATCTGCCAGGGAGTTTCCTTTAATTTTTTTAATGTCATCAGTCAAGTACTTCCACTTACTAATTAGGCTCATAGCTGAATTAAATAAACATTTGTTTAAACCTTCATTTAACGATGTTAATCGAGTTCACCGAAGGAATTCATCCTTTGGCTAGTCGAAATAGGGTGAATTCATGCTTAAAACTAATAATTCTAGGGGCAATATGGTAACAATGAATTTCGCAGAGTAGATTACCCTAGAAGACAGATAACTGACTGTGTAAACAACCTGGCATATCATTTATCTAAATATTTAGCATTTATCTTAGCTTCTATTAGACATAGGTGATATTCTGATAATGATAATAGCTTTATTCCAAAACAGTAGTTGAAATACAGAATGGAATTCTCAGCATTTCACTACAGTATTGCATCCTGTTAGTACATTAACAATAAAATAAAATTCTACATAGATTAAGGGTAATCTCAGTTAGTTTTGACAGCAACATATTAGCATGTCGGTAGCAAAGCCAAAATTAAACAGTGTTTGAAGGTGCTAGGATAGTATGTTCTAGCATATTTACTGGCGTAAGCAGAAGAAAGAAACAAAGCTGCACATAACAGAGAAAAAAAAGAGAGAGAAAAGGAAAAGAAAGCAAAACGCTGTACCTATAAATGATATGAGTTGGAAAGACGAGATCCAGTTGTTCTACTGACTATTTAATAAGTTAGAGGTTTCACGTCTAGTGCTTTCTTTATCGCACAGAAACACGAGCTAAGTAGGGTATGCTTGCTTTGCTTTACTTCGGCTATCTCCTACGGGAGGATGAGCCGGCTTCATGAACGTCTCGAATCATCACTGCTCAGGCGCGGCAATTTGTAAGAGAGTTCATGAAGTTTCATGGGAATTTGGTACGAGTGATGTCCCCAGCATCGCTCGGATGGGTATGGTTGAATTTTTGTACTTACTAGTGCGAGTTAACTAATTCACATGTAGGGGAACGAAAGCCACAAGAAAAGTGAAATAGAAAAATAATGAAAAAGGGAATACTTTTGATACAACACGTTTATACGTTAATATCTCAACTAATACAGATTTTGAAGCAGTCGGGAATGGACTCAACATTGATTCCGAAGTCAAAAACCAGACCAAGTTCTCAGTTAAACAAAATAAAATTCAATCTTCAATATAAGATATACAAACAAACAGAGACTGGCAATAGGATCAACAACACCCCCAGTAGCATCAGCAAACATATTTATAAATAGCTGGAAACGTTAAGGTCTTTGAACGTATATGTACCCGTAGAATAATTAATTGTCCTGACGCGAAAAGAGAAAAATTGGAAGGCCAACACGTTCACGATGATACGTTTATTTTCCAACAAGGGAAATTGACTGTCACACAAGTATGTGAGTGAAAGGGTACGTAGTGTACGAAAGGTGTGAACAAGTGTGTATAAAAATGTACAATGCAGAGTATATATGAAAATGACTAATATACATGAGGTGTATAGATTTCGGGGAGAGGCAGCTGCCTTGGCCGTAGAGGGATAGACATTTATTCATTTTATTTATTTAGTTATTCTATGTACTTTTCCCTTATTACTTCGATTATTTTTATTATTATTATTATCATTATTATTATTACGACTCTCATTCTGAATCTTTTCCACTTGACTTACTTGACATTTTAAACCAAAAATTATTCATTTGTATACTTTTTATCTTTATTTTTACAATGTTAAATTCTATGTTATCAAATTTCACACCACGTTACGTAACATTTTATATTCGTCTATTAATCTTACAATTATATTCCTCTCCCCAAAATCTATACACCTGATGTATTATCTTATATATGACATTAATTATTGTTCCACTTGACTTAAACTATGAATATAATCACAAATAATATACATGAACCAATAAGACAGACAGTAGATTTCCTTACCATCATTGGTTTCTGATTGGTTGTAATGTCATAAAAAAGTCATACACCGTTTATTTAGTTAATGGACAGACAAAGCGTATTGTAAGTTATAATGGAATATCGATCAATATACACACAGCAAAATGTATCAGACTGTCAAAACAAGGTAGACATCATGTCACTACATATCACCAATCCCCCTCTTATCTTTTAGATTCTACTTATCCGTAGAAAGCCATTTCTTTCATTGCCTCTTCTTTATTCATAAAACGGCTATAAATTGTCCTCAATCACCACTTTCATACAGTTCCAGTGTCCTTCAACACAGGCTTCATCAGTGATGCTACGTAATAGCTTTAACTATGCTCTGGTGGTTGCAGCGAAGGTGTCTTTTCTGGTTCCGTCCTTCATTTTCCGAGTCTTGAAACTGGACTGTATTCTACCTGCAGCTGCTTGAAGGACTCTCACCTTGAACATGACAGTGCCTTGCACTAGAAAATTGTTGGGACCCACATCTGTCTCCCTTCTCAATGGTATGCCCAATGGACTTTACCTCCACTTTCTTGAGGTTGAAGTGAAGTCTATCCGCCAGATTAAAAGTCCATATCACCTTGTGTATATCCTTCTCCTTGCATAAGTCTCCTCCAATCACCAAATAACTGAATGCACAGAAGTCTGAGAAGAGTTCGCTGTTATTGTTCATTTTATCAGAAAGCCTCTCGACCTATGATGAGTTCTCTTCCTGCATTTTCTGTTCCCATATCACCCAAAAAGATTTTGATGTTGCCATTTGGGATGTTATTCATTACTGTTTGCAGTTGCCCACAGAAATATTTTTTCTCACGTCCACAGTCGTTTGTAGGCCCGCATCATTGGATAATCGAAACTTTGATTCTTTTTGAGTTGAATCGTGCTTTATTATCCTGTAGGAGGTTGCTTGCCACTGTATAAGAACTTCGGTAGCTTTCAGTGACACTGCCATATTTACTCCCTCAGTGTGCTTACATCTCTTGCCTGGGTCCTTGGAGTAGATTACTGACTCTACAGTTAACAATTTGGATAGTCCGCATCCATTCCACCTGTTCTCTTAGTTTCCTAACTCCTCTATAGCAAATCTCATTTATTTGATTACCTGTGTAACCTTTTCAACATCCACCTTGCAGTATTTGTTTTTGATACCATGAAAGGATGACACATTAGCCCACGTCATTCTGTCCCTCCCATTCCAGCCGCGAATGAGTCCTTTTATATTTCTGTTGTGCTATGAAGTTTCTGTAGCTAGTGGACTGATTTCCTAGTGTAGGGAAACTGGTCTTACATCTGACTTGCCCTCTTCTCCCAGGCTTAGGACCGGTTAGAAAATTAGTGGACCAGTAAACCAAGTGAGTTTTTCGGCTTAAATGCTCCCATGAAATTATTTAAAACGGTACCAGTGAATTTGGAAAAGTGGAAAAAGATACTTCTGGATGTTTTATCACGTAAGCTACAACTTGTTAAGTAAGATTAACTGGATTTTACTGTAAAGCAAACTATACTTTCCAGTGAATGTGACTTGCACGCCAACAGAGTTTTTCACATAAAAATTTAGTTATATCTCACGTATTCCTTCGTTTATTTGTCATATGCTAAGAAATGTCAATTGGTAAAATCTCGATGGAGATTTTACTAAGTGAACACAGTGTTTCATTAAAAAAACAGGAGATAAAAGTAGTTTTGAACTACATTCTGATCTACGACTCTTTTCTTTCATTTCATTTTTTATATCTCTGAATAATTAGACTTACGCTAGAGATGTTTTTCTGTCAAAATTATTGGTATCTATTTTTCATATTATTTTTAACTTTTTTATGATACCTCCTTAATAATCTCATATATATGATCTGTTTAATGGCATTATGTTGATTTAAGTTTCTGTAACTATAGCTAGATTGAATAGCGCAAAATGGACTTCTAAGCGTTCTGACAGAAAGTCTTCACTGGCCGAGTTAATGAAGTCTTGCACTACCTACTAGATGCTCACTTAAAATACTGTATTGTAGTGACAATGTATCACGAAATGACAGAGTTTAGGATTCAAGCATCAACGAACTGTGACCAAGTATTTGAATATTGTCCTGTTCACTTCGAAAACCTTACGGGACTATGGATGTGTAATAATGAAGCTATTCAAGCTAGGATGAAACAGCTGTACGATGCTGCTTATTTTTGTAAAGGAGTTTTTATTTCCCAATGGATGAAAACCAAAACGTTATTGTTTTTACTATCACTTCGTTATTTAATGCTAAAAGTAGGCGATCTGCCTTAATCAATGGGCTGCCGAACTTACTTTCCACCGAAATCCTTGATTTCATATTAATTTACCATTGTTTTATTCGTCTAGTTATATCGAATGACCTATACATAAACTTGCGTGCTGATTTAACAGTCTCTCAATTCAATGAAATGAGGATATACTTCAGATTATTAGTTTACAAGTAAATCCTGGATGAATAAAAAAGTGTTTTGGAAGTGAATACGCTGAAAGTTTTGTGCCTTATGTTAGCATGCTGTCTAAGACAAACCTCTATTATAATTGTTAAAAACAATAGATTTATGAAAGTATTAATAAACCAGCCATACATGCTATAGAACAAGGGCGCAAAGTTGATTTTGATAATATTGAAAGAATCCATAGAAATTTCATAAATCACAAACAACGTCTGTTATCAGAAGCACTTCATATCAAATGGAATCCAAATTCGGAGATATACTGGTATGACGGAATCCAAATTGTCTGAATAGGAATGACTGACTTAAATAGAATTTGACCTGGTTACAACACCCCACTCCCCCATGAAATGCCAAAATCAACACGAATATGATTGGGGATTTCATTATGCAAACACACACTGTTTTTATAATTTTCTGCGGTTATCAAATCCAACAATTCGCACCTGGCTGGTTTAATATTACTACATTGATACGGCTATTACCAGCAGCATTGAACAGCGAAACGTCAGTAAACACACAAGAGTATCGTTTTGTTTTTCATTCATTGGAAATACAAACTCTTTTATGATAAACAATAAATACCATATACCCATGCCCAAATGTGTTCAGTGTTAATAGTGAACTTGGTCTGGACATAGATAACTCCTTAGTTCTGGCTGTATACCCTAAATGATTTCACTTCACGATGAAATATACCTTGGAACTACTGAAATTTCCTCACGCCCAGCACCAAAAACTAATTTCATTTATTAATCAAGCGCATAATGCAACCTTAATTTTTATGATTAGTTTCTATCCGCGTAAATAACTATTCCCCATTCAAATTTAATATACATATGTGCTAATCTATTATCCATAAGTCCATTTAGCTAATAACAGAAAATTATGCAAAGTTAAGTTGAAATTAAATGTTCACATATTTGGAGAATTAAAACTCGAACGAATTTGTTGGCGTTAGAACTAAAGTTATCGTACGTTACCAAAAACAAAATAAATGTGAATATAACATAAAATAGTTCTAGTAGGGGTAGTAGCAGTGCTGGTAGATAAACTGTCCTTCACTTCAATACTGGAATACATTCAAAAACAAAATCAAAAATTTGGGGTGTTAATTATTCATGCCCCGTCCATTTCAATTATCCATCCTCTTATCGACACAAGATTGGTACTAACACTTGCATTTATCAATAATGGTAGTATTTAATTCAACTTAATTGAACAAAATGATTTATACTGAACTAAATAGAAAGCATAAAACTGTCCTAGTCAAAACCATCGAGTATTTCTTCATCCAGGTTTTTTTCTTTACAATTCAGCAGAAGATAGTGACTATTCAATCGTTAGAAACTAGGCCATAAAAATAACTTATTCACATGACATGTTTTTACTTATTTAGATTTCCAGCGCTGTTTAACTAATGACTTCAGCAATCAGAGGCTAAACTTGTGCGACTACTAAATATCTAGTAAAAACTGAATTATTGCAAGTTTCAAGCAAAACAACATGAATTTCAGATGATTCTTCGTTCATATAATGGAATAATATCCTCCTCAGTGTAAATTATTTACTTATTTGTTATGTTATGTAATCTTCACGAGACTGACTGTTTATTGAATGCCTTTTTTCTTTATCTCTCCGCCTCTAGTTCAAACGCTTTTCACAGTCAATGCGGTCTTATATAATTTACAGGGTAACGGAGGTGTCCCATGGTCTGATGATTATAATGACTATTTATCAGTTGCATACATCGCATTGGCATCACAATTTTGCAGCACGGTATGTATCTAAAGCTGTTTATACTCTGTTATGTTACATTATGACTGAGTTGTTCAAGAATGAGTTCCTCGTGTACTGAGCAATGAACCACACATATTGTTTAACCCATAAAGAGAGTACCATATTGCCAAGTTTTGAGAAGGTGAATCAGAATTCAAACCAATTAACCATTACTTGAAAGTAGAGCACTTAAGTCGATGTTATGACCAGAGCTACGACCTACTAGACTATGCGCGAATACCACCTTAATGCACCGAATAATCTTTCTTAATAGCACGCCAACAGTAACACCGCCGAGAAGCAGAGACAAAAGAAAAGACTGGACGTTGATAAGAGAACTATTACTGTCTCAAACAACAGTCAAAATGCTATACAGAAACTCTGTATATATACAGTTACATTAAAAGTATTGACAGACAGTAGGAAATCAGCAATCAAACAGGAAAAACAAAAGGCTAGGAACATCAGCAAGCGATGACTCCTTAAGATAGTTATTTTTTAAGGTTTCAGGCAAAATTAGGTGCATATAACAGCTGATGACAAACATCTCCACACTCTCCAGTTCATTTTCTTTGATGAGAAGAAAATATAAATATAACTCTATCGAAGCCAAATGAAAAAAGCTGAATGATAAACATTCAATATTTTATTATAAATTCCTGTTTGAATAATTCTATTCTAAAATTGCATAAACATATTCAAAGCTACCAAAAAGCTTAACACTTTTTTGCACTAGAAAACATACTGAAATTTCAGCTGAAGATGTTATCTAGAAGGACGATGAAAGCTTTACAATTAAGTCAACTATGAGACTCATGGGACGCAACTAATAAAACATCATCTCATTGTGTGTGTTGGAAAATAGAAGTATCATCGCAAACCTAGTGGTCTTCTGACTTCCGCCTTCTTGCGTCAGGACTATTAGTTTCTCGACCAGTCCATAACAATAATTTAGCGACGAGTACATAACAATTTTGGACAAAATTTATTGTGTGTGATTACTCGAAGTCTTTAATTGCATAATGTAATTAATGAAGTTATTTCCTTTTTTCAATTCATTCTAGATCACACTCAGTTTATCAAATGCAAATCCCTTAATTTTTCAAGGTGCTAGATGTGCAAAAGTTATATTCATAAGAGTTCCTTTATTTATTCGTGTAAAAAGACAAATCAGTAGCAGTACTAATAATAATAGTAGCAGTACAGATTTTGGAGTTCAAGGCAGTACAACAGTGGAACTTCAGACTGTATCAGCATCTCAGATGAGTCAAACACAATTCTCTGAACTACTAACTCAAGGTTATAGTCAACTTAATAATACAGTCGGCATACAATTAAACAACATAGAAACAACGCGTAAGTAAAATTTTCACAAATAAAGTTTAAAAGTATAATGTACTACAAATGACTTGTCATAATCTGTCTAACAACTCGTTAGAATCTATAGGTGAGGTATATTCTTAGCTTTTCTGATTTTAATATTGCCTTCTCAGTTTCAAAAAGTTAATGTCAGTGTTGGATCCTTTCATCTTAGTGATCACGAAGCACATTTGATTAGTATCCAATACAAGAGTAATAAACTTATTGATATGGCATAGCCAATATGCATGTAACAACAGAAGACAAGGGCCGGCAACAGATCGTTTTATTACGGAAATCAGCACGTTTTTATATATACTTCATGTACATTATTATACCTTATTCAAGCAGACAAACAGTCTACTGATTGGTTGCTTCTGGTTTCTCGGAAAGTTAAGCCATATATTTGCGAATCTTATTTGCCCACGTTGAGTCTGCTGTGATTGGTTGTTGAATCAGCCTTGTTCATGTTTTCTCACGGCCGATATTAGTGACCTAGACATTGACGTAAATTAATCTTTACCTATTGGCTAGCAGCCTGCTCTCACCACATGCATCCTCAGTCAACGTTTATGTTTGCAATCTGAATACTTTCTCAGAAAAACAGGCGACTTCATTGCAGCCTCATATACATTTGAATAACACACAGTAAGACGAGCTTTTTAACAACTACCAAAGATAAAATTTAGGTCGCCTAAAACTTCATATATGTTAATGATTCAATGGTAGAGGAGTTGCCAGTCATGCATGCAGTCTGCGTTTCGACTCTCGGCCAATACACTTTTAAATCTCGCCTAGCATACTGGCTAGTAGAGTACCTGGAGACTAAGATGTTTTTTGTTAAACCAGCACCTCTACTCTAAAAAAAACTAAATATGATGTTCTATGTTCCAGTCGGAATGCAGAGGAATGGAATAAGTATCCTATAGATTAGTGCGTCATAATTGCTAGGGAACAGAAGGAATGATGACGTCTGCTCCGACTACTTTCAGTTCACATTTAATCGTTAGTGTTCGATAAACCAAATCAGCTTGTTTTATAGACTGGATAAAATCTTCGTTTCGACAGTGTAATTCTCACTTTAATTCATGATTTCTAACAATCTTTTCTGAAGTTTTTTCCTTCCATGGAAATATGGAAGGAAATGTCTGTTGAAGCGCGATCGATGTCTACTTTATTAAGTGTCTTCGTCATACATATTGGTAAACTAACCTTTGTTTTAAAGTCTTTTTATTATTTAGTAAAGATATTAAGGTAATCAGTAAACAAGTAGGTTTTTTCATGTTCTAATTCTGTCTGATGATTTTAATTAGTTGAATATAACTTCCTGTTTCTTTGCTGAGCTTGTTTTAACTAGTAGAAGATGGAATGTTGTCTTAAAATCCGACTATTGGTTCTTAGATTTGAGTTTCCCATAGACGAAGGTGTCTCCATAGTGTTCACACACGTGCACATGCTCATTTTATATAATATCCAAAGTAGATTATGCCTACCAATAAATTTACTAATAAAACAAAACCGAAGTAAATGATTTGATGTCAAGAGTATAAAAAATGTATCACCTAGATATCTTCACCACAATTTACAGTGTTCCTAAGTACCTAAAATAGCATTTTCCGAGTTATTCATTATAATGTTTTAGGCATTTCTACACGTTTACTTACAAAATATTTTATTCCAGTATTGCTTAACTCCTAGTGTAATCTGCTCTTTTATCGATGTGCTTTCGTTTTCATCATGAATACGTAGTCAAGGGATGAACTGATTGGCGTAAAGACTGCAGACATATAAACTAACCACTCATACAAACCATCATTCAGTTCATAATAATTAATACATCGAAACAGTGAACGCTTAAAAATGTGGAATTTAAAGTTTGTTAAACATTTCGACTTGATTGACCCAACTGCAGAATTTCACATCAGTTGATGTAGAAAACGAAAAAGTTCATTTTATCAACTCATAATTTACTATTTTTTTTTCAAAACTGACGTTTATCCAAGAGAAAATTACTGAGATAGGAATCGACAGTCGAGGAGTAAACACGACGTTTTAGTAAATGACTTCCATTTGTTGGTTGACTTCTCATTTTGAACTCACTCACGTATGGGAAAGCTGATTCTACCTTGAATAACAGCATGGGAAAACTAATTTTTCACATCTCACAAGTATGTATGTCAGTAATTCCGTTGAAATGTAAACAAAATATTACTACATGAAGGTTTTTCAACACTGATTTTGCTGCTGTCATTATTCACAGCCCAAATGTAATTCAATGGTAACCAGTCAACATTTTGCCGCTATATTTCAGGTACTTCACCAGCTATAACATGCCAAAATATTCAATTAGTTTGTGGACAACATGCATCCTGTCGAAATACTGAGAATGGTGTAACATGTACGTGTGATCCAATGTGGCAGGATGTAAATCCATCCGATCCTGGGAAAAACTGTTCATGTGAGTATTGAATTTTTTTAGTAAAGTCTAATCTGAAGTGAATCTTAAACGAAAAACTCTTCACAAAAATGCAGAAATACAAGTTGCTGTGTATTTCATTAAACTACATATATAGTGACAGCCCAGGCTACTTAAATTACCATCCAGTATAATTAATGATGCATAAACTCTTCTCCACTTCTTCTTATTGTCTTAATCATCCAACTGTGTTTTTGGGTGGCTACATGAATTAGCACAGTTTTAGTTTTTTGTAATGAAGAGCACCTCTCAACATAAATGATGTAAAAAATATCGTGGAGATATGGACATCGCTTCAGATGGAACAACAAAGTGTCACACAATATACTACCGAGTACCATTTTACTTGAAGATCTTGTACGAAGAACAGACGCTTTGCAATTTAAATAAGTTGAAAATCTTGTACTACGTGTTAACGCATTGCTTCTAATGAAGCTATTGTTATTATTATTACTACTAAGAAATACAATGGATGGAAATGTACAGGCAATTCATTGGAGAATAATCTGCATTTAAGGGATCTGAGTGGTTTTAAACAATGAGTATATCTACACCATTGGGAATGATGTCTATCCATATCATCAAAAATCTTCAACCACTGGTTGTTAGTATCTCCAGGCTTGATCTGGCAGTCATGGGCTTCGTGAATTAGTGATGTACTTTGGTCCACCAACTCTTAACTCTGTTATAACGTAATTCCAGTTCACTTAACATTGTTCATCGAAGAACATGATGGCTCAACATGCGTAACTCTACATGAATTAGCATATGGGTATTTCACCTAGCTACCTCAGCAGTTGCATAAATAACTAGACACAACTGTGAAATCAAAACAAATAATTGTCTTAAGATGAGCATATTAGGCAAAATGTACTTAGAGTTGATTACATAAAAAGTGAAACAACAAAACAATAAGGAAAGTAGGTTGTGTTCCATGATAATTTGTACACGTCAAATCAACCAAAAATTAACACACCTATATCACTGAGTTACTACATAACCGTCCGATGGGTGGCTGTATGATCGAATCCTTTTTTCTCTACACATAATCCCGACTTCCGAATGCTTGTGCTAAATATTTATATAGTTCGAATCAGATTGAGGTTAGTTGCATGTATGTGGTCTGTGTGAATCATTTCTACCATATCTACAGACTGTTTTTCACATGTCTATAGGTACCACTCATAGCTTGTTCAATTTAGCTTCTTCCATAGCTATATTTAAATTTTCTTTAAATCGGTATAGATTTAACCAGGTAGAGAATTCCGGTTAGTCCAAGTAGGGAAAATTTCTGTTCACTCGTAACTGAAACTGTATTTCTGGAGCTTCTTTTCAACCATTAGTCTGACATAAAGCAGACTGTTTTCTGAAGCACTGTGAAACAACGGATTTATAGAATCCATCAAGTGCTGAGCCAAGCAGCACATGTGGAAAAGATTTGCAGGTTTTACTTGATTTTTACAAAAAATGCTTCACTACAAACGGCGAACCAATGTACACCGCTGAGTACTGGAAGATTTCATGGTCATTGTAAGAGAACAGGACCATAGAACCACTGGTTTGGAATCCACCCATCTTTATTTATCAATTTCTTTCAACTCAGGACAAATTATATTATTTATTGCTATTCCCTTGGATTCCTAGTGGAACATAGGGCTCCAACAGCACATTACTTAGTTCTGTTTTCTGCTGTCCTCTTCATTTGGGTCCACGATTACCCCTAATCTCCCATCTCCTCCATGTAAACCTCGTACCCACGAACCACTCATCGCTTCTCGTTGGGACTCCACTCAAGCGATGGCCTGCATAGCACGCAATGTCACTCGACAGCCTATTCAGCGTGTGCCCTATCCATCTTCATTTTTTTCTGCACATTTGTTGAGTGATCGCCTCTTCTTTGGTTTGTCCGACTACGGAGTATCTTGTTGCTAATTCTTTCTGACCGACCGGCCATTTTATCTTAAGTAGCGGGCAGTTTTTGATAAAAGTCTGCAGTAACCTGTCGGAAATCATTTTCGTGACGCACCCGCCAAGTTTCTGACCCATAAAGGAGAAATGGTCGACTTCATATTGGTGATGAAAATCCGAATCTTGTTCTTTATGCTGATTGCAAAAGATTTTTTAAAACATATTTCAGATTTATGAAGACTCATCCTGCCTTTCCGATTCTGACTAACTTTGACGTCTTCATCCGTTCCGATCACCTCTGGTTGAAACCATGCTTCCTAGAATAGTGAAGCCGGGAAGTAACTTCTGTCACATCTCACCCGTTGATAGTGGGTGATTAGTGCTGGTTGTTGTTGCTGTTGGTTAGTTATCTTCATCTCCTCCGTATTCTCTATGTTCACCCGGAATCCTGTCGACAATGCCAGGCTCTTCAGCCAGTGTGTTGGTTTTCGCCTAGAAGTCTTCGAGTTTGTGTGGTATTAAACATAAATCACCTTCGAAATTCAGGTCTTCTAGAGTCTGGCGTATGTCCATCCTCGCACTCCCTCGGGTCAGGATATATAACGAATGTTATTTATCATGGCTGCAAATTAATCACGATCTTAACCAACTGTTTAACATCCCCACCAGTTCCAACTTCTTGTTATAACTGCGAAAATTTCGTTTAAGAGGTCACTAAAAGGCATCAGATTAATATTTATCGAAGGGGGGGGAGAGAACTATCGGTTTTTTAAGTATACATTTTATACGAATTCGTATGAGTTGACAAGACAACTGAGAAACAAGAAGCACTGAACTCTGTTTCATTCTAAGTTGTGCTCGTAGAATCTCATTTCGGGCTAAGGTAAGGAATGTTAGTTCTCAGAATGACGAATTTCCCCTGCTGGATCCGAAGTAAAGGAACAAACAAAATGTTTTAGAGAACAAACTACGTTTTCAATGAAATCAATTTGTTATCAGCAATGAAAGACACATTAATCCTCTGAATAATGTTGGTGTGCTCACAGTTCCAGACATTACATTTCTATAGATGTTTCCATTTAAGAAGTCTCTGGCACTTAGTTATTCTTTTGAAACTCCTATAATCTACTGCACTAAATTTGGTTATGTCATTTACCTTATTTGGAAATATATTCACCTAGATTACAGTGACATATGAGTAAAGTTACCTTAAGATATTTTTATGCATTTTTCAATATTTACCCTCGAAACTGCAAAAAGAATTTTATTTATACTCGAAAGTAACGTTAGTTTGTGAAACTGAAGTTTAGTTGTAATGATACCTCCTCTTACAGAAGTGATACATACACCAAACCAATAGTATTTATCATGATCTTACAAACATTGTCCACAAAATCAAACTCACAATTTAGAAATTGTGAATTTATACACTTGGAGGTGAAATTTCACCGCAACAAACTTGGAAATGGAGAATTCTGCTCAAGGTAAAACCACTTCACTCAAATAGGCAACTAGAAGTTGGATGATTTGAACTGATTTAGCCCCAATAGGTGAGTATAACCACGTACACCGCTGATAAGCTCGATTCTAAACGAGTAAAGCGGCCGGCCAGCCGGTAGGCAAGTATTTAACTTCGAGACGGCGAGCAAGTACTACACACTGATGTCAGTGCTATACAACAACTACTCACCTGAGTCAATCAGTAGTATACAGTTTTACACATTTTCTACCAAACACTAACGTTAATAAGTGTTTGGCGGCATCTTGAAATTCACTGATGAATAAGACCTATCAAAATTGAGCTGTTTACGCAGCAAATCTTATGTTTATAAAATAAAATTACTATTTCTATATTTGATTGCATGGAGGATTTAATCATGAGCTGACATCAGTTAGAGAACCACTGGAAAACCTGGGAGTACTGGACAGCCAGCTGTTTCGTCCTAGTTTGGGACTCCTCATCAGTACGCACCCACCGGGGTTCGAACCCAGGACCTTCTGGTTACAAGGCGAGCTCGTAGACCATTGAGCCACTGGGACCCGATCCAATGGTTCGTGAATTCTAACTTCTGCCAATTCACGACATAGCGCGACCACTTCGCAATGTCTTCTTCGATGAGTTACTGCCTCATCTTCGACCTGCTGTACCCTACTGGTCACGGCTTCCCACTAGAACCCCAGGTTAACTGCCTGAATAGGGCCAGTCATGAATTGGCAGAAGTTAGAATTCAAGGACCATTGGATCGGGTCCCAGTGACTCAATGGTCTACGAGCTCGCCTTGTAACCAGAAGGTCCTGGGTTCGAATCCCGGTGGGTGCGTACTGATGAAGAGTCCCAAACTAGGACGAAACAGCTGGCTGTCCAGTACTCCCAGGTTTTCCAGTGGTTCTCTAACTGATGTCAGCTCATGATTAAATCCTCCATGCAATCAAACAAAATCCCTACAAAACCAATACTTGAATATTTCTGTATTTGATGATGCCTTTTTTTTGTTACTTCTTTATGTGCATATAATTTAGTACATCCTGGAACTATTGCTTTGATAGTATTCGCTGCGCTTCTACTATTAGCAGCAATTGGTGCAATCATCTATTTTGTTATTAAGACAAAATCAGTGAAAAAATTGAAACTGAAAGCAAATACAATGAATTAAGACATTTCGTCACAGTAATCCGGCAACAATGTTATGTTGAATTAACGCCCCAACCTTTACACTTTATCACAATTTCGCAGAAATTAAATAACACAAGAGTTATTAAATTGTTTTTATAATAATATACAATTGGTGGTCACTTGTCATTTCTGTTGCATACAGAAGAGTGATTAAACTTTGTTTCTGTTTTTTCTAAACATTCTCTGAGAATATTCTTTTGTCTGGATCTTTCTTTCTTTCTTTCGTGCTGTCATGCTTTTAATGTGTAGTTATCATTTTATCCAGTATTTTGGTGTTTTAATAATATACCTAATTTAAACGGAGTGCAAATTCTTGTCGTTTAACAAAAATGTCAGGTTGGCTGTGTTCATCGAAATAGCTGGACTTCAATGATGGTCAAAAGAAGTATTTTCTATGTCATAAGTGAGAAAAAGCATAAGTAGTCTTTACAGTAGATATATGCAAAAATTTGTAAAAAGATATTTAAAATGTGAAGATAAGTATGAATCGAAACCTGATGCAAAGATTTCAGTTAGTACAGTGGCGATTCCTTACCGCGAAGAAACATCGAACGATATAAAGCGCATCCTTAACAATAATGACACAAAAGTGTATTTTCGTACAACAGACGCCTTACGCCCATCACTCGTTAAGGTTAAAGACAATAAAATAGAAGAAGACAACCAACAGAATTGTGTGTATCAGACCAATTGTGGGGATGGTGACGCCATATACGTAGGAGAAACTTCCAAACAGGTAAACATAAAAGTAAATAAATTATGTCTAAAGATGGTTTCAAAGGCATCTGAAAACTGGAAGAAGCTAGAAAACAGATTGGCGATTGCAATGTACTCGAAAAAAACGAGACACACGACCAAGTGTCATGGAACCAAGGTTCTGCAGGAAAGTTTTGGTTCATATAAAGAAAGACTGACTGCAGAAACCCTACAATATATGGGTGAATCCCAAAAGTTTGAACAGACGTCAAGGAATAGTGTTATCTGATGCATGACTATTCTTGATTAGTAAATAGAAATGCATGTGTATCACCAATCAATAATATTCAATCTAAATTCCCGATTGTCTATGTCTATATTATGACGAGGCTAACAAAGATTTACAATTACTGACGCATACATACATGCGTACATACTGGTGCATACCGCATATACACATGTATTTTTTCATATTCAGATATCTACGACCATGAAATTTAGTTCAATGTGAACACTAAAATAATCTGCTTAAAAAGTACACAGTGTTTAACAAAAGTAGGCTAATATTAGTAAGTCTCAAGTCAAATTTTGATCACAGCTCACACACTCTTGTTGATTATATTTTCATGCCTCATATGACTGGACAAAGATTTTAACGACAAGAGATGTCCATTTTATAAATAAACTTTTGTTATTTTGTAACCACAGAAAACCATGGCCAGGCTACAGATCGTCTATCAAGGAAATCAACGCATATTTATAGATTTTCATGTACATTATTATAGATTATTGTTAGCGAACAAACATGGTCTTCTGATAGGTTGTTTCTCATTGAAAGTTATTGTTTTATCTCTTCGGGTATATTTTTTGAATGTCAGATCATCTATCTGCTACTTGTATCTGCCTACGCAAAGTCTGATGTGATTATTTGTTGAGTCAGTCTTTGTTCTAATTTTTCTCATGACCAATATTGGGGACGTACGCATTGACGTATATTACTGTCTACCAATTTTGCTAGCATACAGATCTCACCACAATTTTAATTTTGACTATTTCCCTGAAAAAGCTCGAACCAGTATGAAAACGAAACGTTGGAATTAGTCATTTAAATTTCGCTGACATTTCATAAATATAATTTTTATATATGTCTACTCACTCCGTCAAATCTCAATCAGAGTTTATATAAATCCTTTAAGTAAATGAAAATAACAGAAAAAATAGTCCATAATTTCAGTATAGAAAAAGCCCTCATTTAGATATTTATAAGGCAAATCTTGGTCATGAGAAAAAAAACAAGAACAAAGACTGATACAACAACCAATCACAGCAGACTTACTGTGGGCGGATACGATTAGCAGATACATCGACGGACTGTCTAAGAAACGGCCACAAATAGATGACAGAATAACCTTCAGCAGGAAAACAACCAATCAGAAGACGTTACTTCTCTGCTAACAATACCGAATAATAATGTAGATGAAAATTTATAAATTTCTGTTGATTTTATCAATGAACCTGTTGCCTGACCGTTGTCTTCTGTCGTTATATATATATATATATATATATATATATACCAGTATGTCGGTGGCACAGCGGTTAGGACGGTCACCGACCATGCGCACGGTCCAAGGTTCGATTCCCGGCCGACTCACCCCTTTACCTCGCTAGGCCAGTAGTGAAACTGGTAAAGAAGAAAGGTTGGACATGAGGCTAGCAACTCCATCCTGTAAAAAAAACACTGCTACAGAAACTTCAAGCCTCTAGCCTGAAGCCCTATGTTCCACTGGGAACGTGAAGGAAAAATTTAATTTTATATATATATATAACGACATGTTTCTTAACATTAACTAATTAATACAACATGTAAAGGGGGTAATGATGAACCCAAAAGAATTATCACAGACAATTTAAGTGTAGAAATGGTTACAACAACTGAATATCATAATGTTGAAAAAAGTGCAGAGTAGTTAGGAAATAAGCGAGTGTTCATGTTGATTAAATAACATGTAATTAAATAAAAAAGGATAATAATTCGGATAATGATAATTTTTTTAAAAACTCAGTGGAATAGAAGAGTGAAGTAAGTATGTACCATCAAATAAAGTATAATTATATTTCAATGATTTCACACAATGATAACTTCTTGATTTTTGGTAATATTTCGAAAAAAATTACTGTCAGAATTGTTTTTGACTGAAACAGAACAATTTTGTTGGAAATATTATCACAAATCAGGAACTTATCATTGTGTGAAACCATTGAAATATATTTATACTTTATTTGATCTATTCCACAATGCTCAAACTTCTTACTGATATGTACCATCATCCTATCACATTGATTCATTCTTATAACAGAGACATTTCAACTAGTTTCAGTTAAAATAGATGAAACAGCTCCCAACATACGCACACAGTGTAGCAGTTCGACCACACCAGACAAGAAATTGACGCTTCCCAGAGATTTGAATAATACATTACACATTTCGAAGAAAAACTATGATGCAGTCAGGTAATACACTACCTACAAGAACGAACGCATCATCAGCATTGGGAAAAACCAATTGTTCCAAAAAGGAGAGCCTCGGCCACTAATCCAACGCTTACCCTAATCTTTTTTCTAATTTAACCATACACTCACCGAGTATCCTATTCACATTTATATCATGTTATTTATCCGGCCTCACTGCCTTGCTCAGAAGACTTTGTCTTTCAATGTCATTGGTGCTTTCACCCCCTGGGTGTTGGTGACACTGCATAGTTGAAATAAACAGAAATTCTCTTTCTGTCTTACAGTAGGTTTCAATTCAATTTTAAATGCCCCACAATGACAGATAAAAGTGACTGGTTCCCTTTCTGCAAATTTCTGATCACCTCTCTATCTCAACTTCATCGACTTTGAAAAGGCCTTCGACAGCGTCGATCGAGAGGTCATTTGGAAACTACTTCGCTACTACGGGGTCCCATTGACAATTATACACCTCATCCAACAGCTATACGACAATGCTGCATGCCAAGTAATCCACAACGGGAAACTCACGGAAGCCTTCGAAGTGAGGACGAGAGTGAGGCAAGGCTGTCTACTATCACCAATGATCTTCCTGATTGCAATTGATTGGATAATGCGACAGACAACGGCAACCAACGAGGGAACAGGCATAAAATGGACTGACACAAAAGACTTGGAGGATCTGGATTTCGCCGATGATATATGTCTGATTTCCCATAAACTGGAAGATATGCAAATGAAAAGTAACAAGTTGGCAGAAGAAGCATCAAAGTTAGGACTTCACGTGAACATAGATAAAACAGAGATGATGAAGATTCCTTGCCAACATCAACAGCAACAACAGACCACAATAAGCATAAATGGGAAGAACCTGAAAGAAACAACCTCCTTCACCTACCTGGGAAGCATCGTCTCAACTACAGGCGGAACTGACGAAGACATCAAAGCCAGAATCGGAAAAGCAAGACAAGCTTTCATTACTCTCAAATCTGTGTGGAGGTCAACAGCACTCAGCATCAAAAATAAGATCCGGATTTTCAACTCCAATGTGAAGTCAGTGCTACTATACGGATCAGAGACTTGGCGAGTCATAAAGAGCATCTCAAACAAACTTCAAACCTTCATTAACAACTGTCTCCGCTCAATACTCAAGATCAGATGGCCAGAAAAGATCAGCAACAGGGATCTCTGGGAGCGAACCAATCAGGAACCGATTGTGAAACAAATAGGCAGAAAGAAATGGAGATGGATTGGCCATACGCTGAGGAAACCATCAAGTGACATCACTAGACAAGCCCTCGAGTGGAACCCGAAAGGGAGGCGGCGAGTTGGTCGTCCAAGGGTGACTTGGAGGAGGTCATGTGAAGAGGAGATGAAAGCATGTGGGCAGACCTGGAGCAGGGTGAAAAAGTTGTCAGAAAACCGAAGTCAATGGAGGTGCGCAGCTGAAGCCCTATGTTCCTCTAGGAACTAAAGGATACAATAATAATAATAATAATAATAAAATCATATCGGTTAACAAACCTAAAGCAGCGTTATATATACACAGAACTCCTACAAGAGCATAGACATTTTCCTTGCAATTAACCCACTAACAGGCAATACTGGAAAAACACTATCCGAGTGAAATCGACTTTTCAATCCCTAAACAATATCGACAACACCGCTCCAAATATAGCTGTGCAACACATGTCCTAAACATCTAAGTCGATGTAATTTCACAGCCTCGTCCATTGATTCTCCCTCGTTACCTAGAACTCGATGCCTAACCTCAATATTGCTCACCTTATTATGCCACCACTTTACACGGGAGATAGAACACAGGCACCTATGATCAAAGACAGCTAATCTTTTCATGTATTCCACTCTCAATGGCCAGGTCTCACAGCCATAGAGGAGGACGGATCGGACTGATGAGCAGTACACCCACCCTTTGGTCGACAGCCGTCCGGATATCACGACTACGCCAGAGACGGCGTAAACTGGCGTATGCGAAACTAGCCTTCTGTATCTGTGATGAGTTTTTGTAAGCGATCGACCCGTTGGGACTGGCTAATGCAACTTCCCAAATAAGTGAAGTGGTCAACGTGCTCTACCACTTCCTATTTCTAAGCTACGAGTCAGTGTAGTTCAGTCCTGTAACATAATCTTGCATTTGGAGGGAGCGAATCGCATGCCAAATATTCGCAACTCGCAGCTCAAGGTGTTCAGAAGACTCTGCATTTTGTCAGCGTCCTCAACTAGAAGGACTATATTATCTGCGTACTATAAGTCGACGAGATTATTCTCTGGTTACAAATCAGTCCCTGAGGTCAGCTAGGGTTAAGTTCATTAGTACATCTATGATGAAATTGAGTATAAATGGGGATAATGGGCACCCCTAAAGGGCACCACTAGTTGTCACCACTTCATACAACAACTCTCCATAGGCTCTCACCTGGCTGCTTGAGTTCGAGTAGAGTGTCTTGATCAGTGAAATGTATTTTCTCGGAATTCCCTTTACAGCCACGCATCGCCAGAGTACATCTCGGTCGACAGAATCGAATGCCGCCTTTAGGTCAAGAAATATAATGATTGTTGGACACCGGTAGGAATTCCTATGTTCTAGAATCTGTCGGAGACTGAAGATATGATTAATACACCCTCTTCCTGGTCTAAATCCTGCCTGGCTCTCTCGTGTTTGTGACTCCCGAGTACCATTTCGTCTACGCATGATTATTGAGCCTAGGACTTTAGGTACTATATTAGTCAAGCTAATCCCTCTGTGATTATCACAGGAAGACTTGTCTCCCTTCTTGTATATGGGGATAATCAGTGACTTACACCAACCCGACGGGAATTCTTTTGATTCCTAGACGCTACCTATTGCCTTAGTTAATGCAGATAGTAAACTGTCTCCGACGTCCTTAAATACCTTTGGAGTCATTTCATCAGGGCCCGCTGCTTTGTCTCGTATCAAACCAGTGACAGCTTTTGTAACCTCAGTTAGGGACGGAGGACCTGTGTATATATCCAATTCAGGGACGTGTTGGATCTTCAGCAGGTTGAGTGTGGCTGTGGACCAATTAAACTGCTCCTCATAGTGCTTTTTCTAGCGCTCCAGTCGTCTATCCTGGGAGCTAATTACGGTGCCATTTTTCTCAGAGAGAGTTTGACTTATCATTTGCCTTTTATCACCTGTTTCTCTGATAAGACTAAGTAGTTGTCTGGTGTTACCGATCGCCAATGCCTTTCCATCTCCTTTGCTTTTGTCGCCCACCACTGTTCACGGTCGTTACGAAGGCTTCTTGTTATTTTGCGTTTGAGTATCTTTCACTCCTCATCATAATCGAAGCTCGCCGGAATAAGTCTTCTTACGTCAATCAGTTCGGATGAGGTGGTAGAGGTCTTGGGCAATGTGGTAGTAAGTAATTCCATGTTCGTTTGTTTATATATGAATTACAATAGACAATAACAATCAGTCTTATGCGTGCGTGTGTGTCTTAAAGTTTGACAGTGAGTGGAAACAAATAAATAAATACATAGAGGTCAACCTAAAGTTCAATAGACGCCATATGTGAAATAGATGATCAGAAAATAAAGCACATTCGGAAATGTGAATATATTATGATGGATGAATAATAAATTAATAAAAAACACAAGTTCTTTTGTACAAAAAGACTTTGTTATCTTTGGTGGTATATGCCATTTACGAAGAGTGAATCAATCAGATGAAGTTAAACTAAAGCACGTCAGATAATGTTAGTGACCGCGTATGCTAGATTACCACTAACTTTATGCTGCTTGTATCAGACACGTAAACACTTCTAACATTAGTTAACAACGCATCCAGGAGAAACCGTTACCACCTGGAGACATCAACTTCAGTGTCATGGAAATACTGTACAGATACTAACTAACAGACTACCATAGGCTAAGCATAGTTGCAAGAAATATAATCTCTGCCTGTGAAGTGGTACCATCAAGTGACAGGGAGCTAAGTTCTATTAGTTTCTATTAGTGAGTAATCGCTTGCTAGGCGGGAAATCAAGTGAAGCGTTACTACACGTTGGTGAGAATTAAAACCATCTGTAACTACTTATTGTTTAATTCATACCTTATGTAGTATTTAGTTGTAGAGTCAGATTTCGTGGATAGATGTAACATATTTCCAGGTGCACGAATATTGTTGTACAAACTTCACACGAAGTTAATGTAAGGTAGGTCCCACTCACGTAATTGACATTCATCAGCTGCAGACACAGATAATCTAAAAGAAAAGTGTATTTTATCGTAGGCACAAATCATGTTTATAAACTTGGACGTCCCCTTTAGTTTCAATTTAGTTTAGCAGAGATTTTCTCAGATTAAATGATTTTTTTAAAACAAGTAGGGAAGGAAGGTTAGATGATGAAAAAAATTAATCATTTTCAAGGATTTCTACAGTTTCAAATAGCCACTGTGATTTCCATTTCTTTTTATAATCCATTTATTTACCTCATTTTAGCTGACCTTTGCCATAAAAAATCTTGAAAAAAAGAACACCTACTTCAACTGAAGCTGTCTAAAAATGTCGGATGAAGACAGAAGCTGTTGCCAGATGGTTTCATGTGTGATGTGATATTGAAAACACCTCAACAAAGGACAGAACACATTTGAAACGGACAAAAGTAACACATCTGACAGCATTATACAGCATTCGTCTAAACACGTGAAACAAAATCACATAAAACCAACACTATCTGAAGAAATTTACATCGTAAGCGATCGCCTCCTTTTATACCTGCCAGTTTAGTATATAGAAAAGAAAGCAAAGCAATTTAGTTTTGCTTTGACTTATATATTTCAACTAAGGAAAATTGTTAATTCACAATGAAAACGAGGGTAATAATGAGAATGAAAAAGACAAAAAATATTTGTACATTACAAACACACAGGTGTGAACTGATGGATACACTATTATTATTATTAGAAAGGTGTTTAAAATTTCATAGAAGGTAGTTAATATGTGAGACGAGTGCCATCACAATCCTCAGTGTGAAGAAGTTCGAAACCTTTTTGACCATCATTAAAAAAATAAACATCAGCATGGAATATGAGAGAAGAGAAAGACAAGATAATAGAAAAACTGAAATTAGTAGCACACAGTTTTATTTTTAAAACAAGAACATAGAAGACACTTCCATTATCATCCATTAGTATTGGTAGTTGATGGCAGACATCCGATCTTGTATGCAAGCCCAGAGAGTTTAGTAGAACAGAAGAGGAGTGATAATTTACATGAAAGACTATTCTGATGTAATGTACACACAGATACATGCGTACATGCAGTCAAACAAACAAATTATTATCATGAATATTATTATTATTACATAGAAGTGGTAAGTAACGATGAACAGTACAAAATGATGCATTTCTGTGTGTATTATAGTACTATAAAAAAAGATACAGAATAGATAAAATCATGGGATACTGGAAGGAAATGATCATGAAAGTGTAAAGGAATGATGACAATTGACAAACGCAGAGAGAGAGAAAAAGAATATGACCAACACATCACAAATTTTGAATCGCAGATATGCTTTGATTTAGAGGCAAGACGACTGGTGCTGCGACTGTTGTTGCTGCCGAGGGACCCGAGAATTCTCCAGTTTTATCGTGCTGAAGATTTACGCACTGTTCTACCACAACAATATCTGAATTGGGAACATTATCAGTTAGTTTGCAGACAGATGGCTGGGATGGCGTGACTGAAGTAGTAAAAATGTAATTAAAGATATATATATATATATATATATATATATATAGTAATGTGAAATATTCCCATATCACAAGGAATTAAAAGAAGAATATTCTTTTCAATAGTTCCCCCTCTTCAGCTTCTTACAATTATAAAATATAATGTTTGTTACCGTTACAATAATGATAGCCAGTTATGCGGCGGATACATTTTCTAACGTAGAATAACAGATTAATTATGGGGTGTCAAAACAAATAGTTATATTTGTGGGACAAACGTGCTAGGCGGAAATTGATTACAAAATATTGTGAAATGGGAGACAATGGTGGCGAGCAGTCATAATAGATTCGTAGAGTGTGGGGTAGGAAAAATTGGTAGGTCACTTTAAGGTTATAAAAGGTGTAAGGAGAGTTACCAGTACATATTAGTATATATTAAAGAGGAGACTGGAAGTAAGACTGCAATGAGAAGTTCATCACGAAATAACCAATATGTGAAATGAAATAGATGGAGGCATATATTGAGAAAAAGATATCCCCGATTATAATTCCGGATAGTGTAAATGGGAAATTTGACAGTATTGAGAGTATGTTTGAATCAAGGGTATAAATTATATCGAATAATAATGAGTGTAACAAAAAAAGACGGTTAAGAGGAAGAGGCACTCTTGGTGAGAAGAAGAGTTACTAATCCAAAATTCGCCTCGATGGCAACAGCGTCTGGATGAGTTCCTTTTGAATACAAGGGTTCCGTTGTAGTCGACCTTATTGCAACAGTTTCACCTATGTGTAGGAGAAGGAAGTGAACTGTACACGATAACAACCTTGGAATTCGGCATATAACCTTGAAAGCTGGGATGGCGTAGATGCGATGTCCAGTATGGACCACGTGTGACAGGATCGAGCCTTTTATACACTTAATTACCCCCCCCACCCCTGTGGAACTAAGCTGGTAAATATTCTCGAACCCGTTATTGGTTATTTCATGATGAACCTCTCGTCGCAGTCTTGCTACCTCCTTCTTTTTAATAGATACCACCTTGTACTAGCCACTTACCTTACCGACTTGTCTACCTTTCCCATCACATATTCTACGAATCTATTATGACTGCTCACCACCATTGTCTCCCATTTCACAATATTTTGTAATCAATTTCCGCCTAGCACGTTTGTCCCACAAATATAACTATTTGTTTTGACACCCCATAATTAATCTGTTATTCTACGTTAGAAAATGTATCCGCCGCATAACTGGCTATCATTATTGTAACGGTAACAAACATTATATTTTATAATTGTAAGAAGCTGAAGAGGGGGAACTATTGAAAAGAATATTCTTCGTTCACATATTTATCACATGGATTCAAAACATTTATTTCCTAACCTTCATTTACACATGGATCAGATAAGACTTGGATAGCTTCGCCTGAAACATTCGAAGGTAAATCCATTACTGTTGTTGTTGTCGTCTTCGTCATCGCTGACACAGGAGTAACATTTGCGTCCACCATCATCATCATTGTTTCAGGTGGATTACTTGGAAACAATTGTTCTAATAATTCAGGTAAAAATGTTGACAAATGTTTTTCTGTCAACTCCCAGAGTATAGCGGAATTGGAACCTGGTGGAGAATTTTTAATTAAAATTGGATTGATGTCATGCGTTCCAGTGCACATAACTAACAGTACATTCTTTAGAGATTCACGTACAGCATCCGTCTTGAGAGGAAGAGGCAAAGAGGCAAGATAAAAAGAAATATTGAGTTATTTTACAGATAGAGAAAGTGTACACATAACCAGTAACTTTTTTTATATCAAAACAAAGAGAAAAATATGCTAAGGAAAAAAGAAAAGTAGTGAAAGCTTAAAATTTATTTCATCACATAATTTGCGGGAAGAAGTGTATACAGAAAGCCAACATCAACTGGCCAGTATACTCACGTTTTCATCTTCATAACTTTGAAACACGAACGCGATTCGATAAAGTGCTCGGTCCATGGAGTAAGAGCAATCTACTCTAATGAATGTCTTATTGAAAAGTTTATACTATTAAACAGTTGCCGAGTGAGAAGGATTACCCAGGAAAATTTATCGATAAGAATATGAATCAAAAGTTAAGGCAGGCCACAGTACCAACAGTTCCAAAAAAGGCTCTATCCTAATAACTTCAATTTCTCAGGGATAACATCAATGAGATATTAACACAACGCCTAAGGGATGCGGTAAACAGAGCATTCAATGTTGTGTCTTCCACATCTATTTTGCGTTCGGGAGTTAAAGACAAATCACCTAATTTCGCCTCTTCTGAGTACATCTATCCATTTGACTGCTTCCTGTGGAGCCAGTTACATAGGTCGTACAATTGAGCGTGTTTATCGTCGGATTTCTGAACACCATCCTGTCTCAAGGCTAAGTAAGGGAGACACAAGGAAGGTCCAGTCATAGTTTTATTGTATCTCATCTCGTAGATAAAGAACACAAAACTGATGTAAAAAAAGGCTTTCGAAGTCATCTACCGCATACCAACTAAGCTTAGGTTTACCTCAAGAGTTCGGTAATTACATACTGCTCAGGCTGACTGTTGGAATCTACAAAAAGAAGCCTAATCTATGTATCCCAAAGAAATTGGTTCAGACGCTTTCCTTAGCGAAGCCATCAACGTAGAAGTTTCCTTAATTTTATTTAGTATTACATTTTTATGCTTATTATAGCTTATGCATCTTTCGTGAACTGTAATTTCAGTGATCTTAACAAATCGATAATATTTAAAAACACTACATTGGTTTGTGAGTGTTTATCAAGAAAGTTGAGTTCTAATAATTTCCATGCCAATGGCTGTATAGTCAATGAGTCTACTTTATAACATGAAGGTTCTGGGTTCGAAATCTGGCAGTAGGATATGAGTGTGCACTGAGGAGAGTCCCAAGCGAGAAGGAAACAGTTGTCTAGTACTCTCTCTACTTGTTTCCAATGGTTCTCTGACTTAAATCAATTCGTTATCAATCTTGAAATTATTTTTATTTCTGATAAGTCTGATTTGCATCTATCCACATATTAGACCTTCGACTGTATTATGTGCAAAGCTATGCTCATTAAACTATGATAACAGTATATATTGAAAATTTGCAAGTCTAAAATTAATAGTTTATGCGTGTGAATAGCGTAAGTTTAAATGAATCGCCGTCGTCATTTTGATAAATATAAATATACAAATATAAATTCAAAGATAAGTTAAGACTTAAAAAGATTAATGCTCAAATCAATTCTGAAATCAAAAATCTTCATGCTATCCATAACCAAACACTTTTATCATACAAATCTATCAGCATTTAGAAACTTTTCAATGAAATTACTGGCAACAATAAGCGATGTAATGTTCCCCCCCCTATAATGTTAATGCTCTTAATCAGTCTTTTATGCGCTCTCCTTCTACTATAACTACTTCTAACGTTACTATTCATGTAGCTGATAACTTCCAGGACTTTAACATTCTCGATGTTTTAAAATGTCTTAAAACTCTTAACCTCTCGTGTAGCCTTGGCCCTGATGGTATACCTGCATATGTTCTAAAAAAATGTGCAGATGCTATATGTTCTCCACTAACTAACACCCTAAATGCTTCTTTCGCCAAAAAAGTTGTACCTGTTCCATGGAAAGACATTTAAATAGTCCCTGTCCCTAAACCTGGAAATAGCAAGAACGTAAAGTTCAGACCTATTGCCAACACTTCACCGTTTCTAAAGCTTATGGCAAAACTAGTACTTCTTAAACTCGAACCCTAACTTAAAAGCTTTGAAGACCCCAAACAATTCGCCTATAGACAGAGTGGGAGCACTTTAGATGCTGCAGCCGTCTTACACAACAGTATCGTCTCATCATTAGATAAAGGTGAGAAATACGTCCGCTGCGCGTTTCTCGACTTCACTTCTCCTTTCGACTTTGTACCTAGATGTTTCTTGCTAAATAAGTTCTCCATGACACAAACCGAGTCCTGGGTCACTAACTGGTTGCATTCCTACTTTTCAAACAGAATGCAGTACACTGTATACAAAGGCGAATCCTCCTCTGCTGTGCTCACTGAAGCTGGTGTCCCCCAAGGTGCTGTACTCTCCCCACTTCTCTTTTCATTCTTTCTGCATGATCTAACATCTTCAAATGACATTAACTTTGTCAAATATGCTGATAACCTAACTGTATCTTTACCTGTCAAATGTCAAAGTGACTGCTCTAAACTAAATGGCTTCTTATCAGAAATCAGCCAATGGTCCAAGGAAAACGGTCCCATCTTAAACCCCTCCAAATGCCAAACAGTTAATTTCACGTTTAGGCACAAATCTGACCTAAACAAACTGGTGGTTAGCACTCACGAGGTGTGGAGCATCGATGGCACTGAAATAGAAACCAAGTCGGAAATTAAATACCTAGGTGTCACTCTATCTTCTGATCTTTCCTGGTCGTCTCATATCTTGACGATTTCTAAGAAGATATTCCGTCTTACCTTCTACATCAAGAAGTTAAGACATTCTGGTGTAACCCAACCCTTACTACTACAATTTGTTAGCTCCTGTATTCTGCCTATTATTCTCTACTGTTCCCCCTTAGTCTTTCCTGGGCTATTGAAGAAGACTATACCTTATTACGCAGGATGTTGAAGGTTGTCAGCAGGGTAAGCAACGCGCCATTTAACCAGCTTGTTAATATTCTGGCTGACTGGCACATGGGCTCATGTGAAAAATTGGCAAATTCCATTTTATCTAACTCACAACACCCTCTTCATTCACAACTCTCCCCCTTTTTTCTGTTATGTGGTGCTGTGGTTCTTCCTTCTTTACAAACTCTACTGAAAACATTCTTCTTCGTTCTTTCACACTCTGTATACCTCGACCTTCTTTTTGCCGCTTACGCCAGTAAATATGCTAGCATCTACTTTTCTAACACCTTCAAACACTCTGTTCAATTTTGGCTTTGCTACCGACATGCCAATATGTTCTTATCAAAACTAAGTGAGATTACCCTTAATCTATGTAGAATTTTATTTATTGTTAATGTACTAACTGGATGCAATATTGTAGTAAAACGCTGAGAATTCCATTTTGTATCACAAGTACTGTTTTGGAATAAAGCAAATTATTATTATTATTATTATTAATAAAAGCATGAAAGTTATATACCCTCATCACTATTATCATTTATTCTCAGCTAGTGATTCCTATGCATGGAAGATGTATTCAGTCATAAGTAATAGGGAATGGCAATGCGCATTGATTAGCAACAGCTACGTGTAAACACAAGAGAAACTGTATCAGTGAATCATCTGATCTAAGTGAGGCAAGAATTGAAAAAGCGATTTGTGCAACAAAATTATCCAAGAATTGAGACAGTTGAAGAAAAAATGCAACACTGAAGGAAGTATTGATGACATATCTTAAGATAAATTTTCCCCCATCGTAGTATCACGAAAGAACACACAAGAGTATTTGGCAATGGCATCATTTATTGGTACCTCGATGTGGGGATATTGGCAAGTTACAAGAAATGTACATTTCCTCTCTTCCCCCCTCCCATTAAATCTATCTCTTCGCTATTCAACCTTCTTATAGATGATATACACATTTGTCCAGATCTGTATACTACTTATAAATCTTACGAGTAGTACACGCCGCAGTAGCAGTATATATGTAAATTCTTTTACGTTCCCAGTGGAAGCAAGGTATAGGCCTGAAGTTTCTGTAACAGTGGTGATTATTTTTACGGGATGGGATCGCTAGCCTCATGCCCAACCTTCCCTCCTTACCAGTCTTATTACTGGCTTAGCAAGGTAAAGGAGTGAGTCGACCGGCGATCAAACCCCGAATTACATGCGCAGTTGGCAAGCATTCTACGGCTGTGCCGCTGACGCACGATAGTATATTGCCACAACCATTTATAAGCAAGTTTGAAGTCAAGGTGATAATCATATACTGGGCACAGTTAGTCAGCCAGACAACGATTATGTTGACAAATAGTCTGTTTACATTGTGATCACGCTTAAACTGCATGTGTATGTGCAGCGTTACGCTTATCAATAAATGCATTGAGAAAACTCCAGTGCCACAAACAATAACCAGTTGACTAGATGTAATATAAATGCAATGATGACAACTGAATATATCTAAGTGGAAGAAACGCAATATTCTATATAAGAAGGACAAGATGCCTGCACCAACAAAACCGTCGGAAGTTGAATCAAACTACCAGCATGACAGTGATCTCAGAAACTACGAGAAAATTCACCAGAATATTTCTGCTAACACCACAGCTAGAACACTAAAACCAAGTTAACCACTGAGTTCAATACTATGCTGACTAAAAGAACTCACTCATCCACCCAAAAGCAAAAAACAAGATCAATACAATGTTTAAAAAATCACTTTAATAGGCTGTGATAAGCGCCTATATTTTTTAAACTGAGCGCCCAATTCAACTCCGAACCCAAGAACATAAGGTAGCTGTCAAAAGACGCTACATGAACTCTTTAATTTCTATGCATGTAGACAATTAAGTACACACCTATCTGACGCTGGATATGTAGACATTTTTAAACATTGTAAACACACAAAATATGTCAGGGAATTACTAGAAACCTCAAGACGAATCAATAATCAACAGATAGATTTATTAGAGATCAAAACTTATCAAGTAAAAAAAGGAATAAACAACATGACAAAACAAGTCAGATTCCGAGTCACAGAAGAAGACAGTTGATAGTGATGCAAATTAACAACCAATCACAATAAAGGTTGTCAAAAGATATAATGATATCATTCATGGAGAATTCAAGTAAGTTTCACTTCACATGGGAACGTGTTGTTAACAGTCAGCCTTTATTCAGAGAGCTTGAAATTATCAAGATAAATTCATTATTATTATTATTATGAATAATGAACTAAATAACGCACACACTCTGAGCTGGTGGAAGGCATTTCCAATAAAATTACACTTACAACTGAAAAAGAAACACCTGCCGAATTCTGGAATTCATTAGAATTAATTCAAGAAAATTAGAAAACCATGTGTGCATAACACTAGCTCAGTTACAATAACAAGCTAACATTACAATGTAGTAAAACCAACAATATTATGGTGACAGTGATCAGCACTAAACATCAGTCAGACGCCAAAGTTGCGTTAATATGTAGATATATAGCGTTTACAGTGAATACAGTTGGACAGACAGGTATGTTTAGTCATCTATGCGTATTTAGTGTACATTTATTGTGAGCGCTGAAAGTTGAGTAGTGTACGAATCAAATGACACTAGAACACAGTTCACACGAAATAGTCTATTTAGACGCATAGAAGATAAAAATAAGAGATTGAGCAAAAATATGTCATTTTGACAACTTCCTCATCGGGACCCCTCTCTTTCCCTATACATATAGTAGTAGTATAGTATTGAATCAGACTTTCCGATTAACGGGATGGTAATTAAAACAGGGTATTTTTCAATATGAAAATGAATTTAAAATTAAATTAGATGAAAATACTAACAACAATTTAACAAGGGAAAAAATGGGGAAGTTTATCTAGAGTTCCGCAGTAAGTTGGTAGTTTCCTGTCTTAGACTCTTCCGATCATATAGAATGTTTGATAAACAAGGTATTGTCGAGTTTTGTAGTTAGTCGTTCGAACATCGTTGCTTCTAGTTCTTCCCGATGAGATACAAGGAGAGATTGGTTACAGGATTTCATCATGAGCTGACATCAGTTAGAGAACTACTGGAAAACCTGGAACAGCTGTTTTGTCCTAGTTTGGGACTCTTCGTCAGTACGCACCTAACGGGATTCGAACCCAGGGCCTTCTGGCTCATGATGAAATCCTGTAACCAATCAACCAAATCCCTACAAATCAATACTTGAATACAAGGAGAGAGTTGTATATAGAGAGGATGCTCAAAGTCTAACAAGATAATATTTTGTAATTTCTTGCAGGAGTCCATTTGTCTGTTTACAATAATATTAACGAGTTGGTTTGACAACACCTCATTCGCCCTACTGACAGCTTATACTGTCATTTGAAGTACAACAGAAGTCATTTGAAGTAGCCCAGAAAAGAGTAAGGGGGGACAGTAAAGTAGTGTAGGTAGAATGCAAGAATTAACAAACGGTAACAGTAGAGACGGAATGATACTAAATTATCTTAACTTCGTCACATAGAACGTCAAACGAAATATCTTTCTGGAAATTAACTTGATGTGGGAAGATCAGGAAAGATGATCAGAGGAAATACACAATCCAAGGTATTTAATATTCGATTTCATTTTAACTTCAGTGCCATCTATGATAGTGGAATCGTGAGAACTAACCAGTTCACGTAAGTCGCGCTTGCGTCTGAAAGTGAAATTAACCACCTTAAGACCATTTGACGAGGACTACTAACAAATTTCTAATAAAAACAAATCAATCATTTTGCAACCGTCTGACTGAGAAGTGATGGTTTAGTAGGGATTTTGTTTGGTTGGTTGGAGGATTTCATCATGAGCTGATATCGGTTAGAGAACCACTGGAAAACCATCTGAAAAACAATAGATTTGCCCTACACGAGCAGACTCTGACGATTGCGGCTATATACATTTTAAAAACGAGCTCACAAAGCCAACATTAAGACTATTCAGAACACAGAAAGTAACTTTAAAAGACTTGTCACCATCATTTTTATGTTCAACGTGAACAATAGGCCTTGTTTTTCCCACGCAAGACGATGTTCTATTGACCTTAAGAACTCGCTATTTGAAACACCATCAAGGTTTTCAATAACAATATATATATATATATATCACAGAAGCTAAATGAGAAAATAAACAAAATAATCAAAAAACATCTTATTACTCACCAATGAATCAGAGCTACTGGCAAGCATATAACGCTCCATATATGCCAGCATACGTATCCACAGTACATTGAAGGTATCCAATTCATATAAGGGCCGAAGATGTTGTAGGTAGACTTTGGTCAATAAAGGGATAGCACGCATACGTGGATCAGCAAACTCCACAGTATGTAAATGATAACCATATCCAGTGCTATTTGAGTTATGATTAGTAGTTCCACCAGCCCCAACACTACCAATGTTATTCTCTCTTTGTGAGTTTGCAGCAATAGCTTCTTCAAGTGCGATGCTCTCTAGGAAACCGGATAATAATGGGAAGAGAACCTAAAAACAAAACAAAAAATGAGAGACAAAAAGTTCTCTTAATCAAAATCAATGAATATTTGAATTTTTCCTGCATACAACATGATAAACTTATTAAAACTGAATTAATTAGCACTGACTCACTACTTTATTGCATGGGTATCATCTGGACTAGTCAGCTGAAACAAAGCTTTCTGTGAGATGTATTTTCATGTTCGTATCTCACCCCTACATAATTTTCAGCCCGGCCGATAGGGTATTATAGCACCAACACAGTAGGTGTTGATATGTATCCACATATATATGTGTGTATGGTGATCTCTTTTTCTGTTTGCTCGCTTAGTCTGTGACCATTTCACTTTGATGAACCTGTCTCCTTTAACAATGTGTATTCCCCTTATATTATATATAATATGAGTGTTTGTTGACAGTCCGTTGCTTGGTGACATATATCCATATATGGTGGTTGTTAACATGTCTGCTATATTTTGCTATGTATATATGGATCGACACTCCATTATGATTAACCATTCATGTTAAGACTGTCTATTGATTGTTCACACACTTTTCTGGACGGTCATATATATATTTCGTTCTCACAATCTTGTGACTACTTACTTTGGCGTGATACCACTTATTGCTTCTCCTTGTGTTTGGAAAATAGAAGTATCATCGCAAACCTAGTGGTCTTCTGATTTCCGCCTTCTTGCGCCAGGACTATTAAAATCTCGACCAGTACATAGCAATAATTTGTCGACGAGTACATAACAATTTGGCGACGGGGAAAACTACTATTGAAATAAGAACAAACAAGTTCAGCGAAGAGTCTCTTTTCGGCGAATTCATTCTCTTAGCTGTACAGTCGCAAATATATACAATTAATTTTGTGTGTGTGTGCATAAGGTTTGTCAAAATCAAAATCAAAATAACAGTTAGTGTGGGTTATTGGTTACATCATCAAAATAATAAAGAAATTAAATTGTGTGAATAGTAATCAAAGTTGTAACTAAGTAGGGTGAGGAATGGTAAGATGTGAGTAGGGTTACGTCATCAAAATAATATAGAAATTAAAATGTGTGATTAATAATCAAAGTTGTAACTAAGTGGGGTGAAAATTGGTAAGATGTGAGTAGGGTTACGTAATATAGACATGTTTAGAAAGATTAGATGTTCGTGAAGGAGTATGGAGACAATTATGAAAATAAACTAGATAATAGGTGAAAAGATTGAATGGGTTAGTTACTAAAAATTATTATACGAATATTGCAAAAAATTTTGATAACAAAATGTTGATGACAGATGAACTTGAAATTAAACCCACGGTAGTAGGAGGGGGTGGAGAAGTTTCTTCTGTGTGCATAATTCAGGCTTTTCTATCCAAATCGCTAAGGCTTCGGCAATACAAAGTATACGGAAGCCTTCCAAAATCGACAAGCTTCCGTATACTTTGTATTGCCGAAGCCTTAGCGATTTGGATAGAAAAGCCTGAATTATGCACACAGAAGAAACTTCTCCACCCCCTCCTACTACCGTGGGTTTAATTTCAAGTTCATCTGTCATCAACATTTTGTTATCAAAATTTTTTGCAATATTCGTATAATAATTTTTAGTAACTAACCCATTCAATCTTTTCACCTATTATCTAGTTTATTTTCATAATTGTCTCCATACTCCTTCACGAACATCTAATCTTTCTAAACATGTCTATATTACGTAACCCTACTCACATCTTACCAATTTTCACCCCACTTAGTTACAACTTTGATTATTAAACACACATTTTAATTTCTATATTATTTTGATGACGTAACCCTACTCACATCTTACCATTCCTCACCCTACTTAGTTACAACTTTGATTACTATTCACACAATTTAATTTCTTTATTATTTTGATGATGTAACCAATAACCCACACTAACTGTTATTTTGATTTTGATTTTGACAAACCTTATGCACACACACACAAAATTAATTGTATATATTTGCGACTGTACAGCTAAGAGAATGAATTCGCCGAAAAGAGACTCTTCGCTGAACTTGTTTGTTCTTATTTCAATGTCTTAATGGGTATTTTTCGCGAATTAAAAAACTACTATTAACCACTCAGCAGCAGCAACATAACAGGTGTGTGACTCATAACTCTGATGAGTCTCTGAATTTTCGTTAGTATAAGTGAACATAAACAATGACTTCTATCAATATTTAAGAGGTTGATATGATGAATTATCTAACAGCAACATTTCACAGTGGACCGTGATGGCGAGCTACCTAGCACGGTGGCTACGTTGCAAACTCGACCGGAAGAATTCAGTCTGCACCAAAGATAGAACTACACACATTACAGTAGTTACTGACTAATGTCCAATCAAAAAAGATGGACCAATCACCTTGCAAGTGGGTTAAAAAAAGACCTAGCAATGCAGTACGGGCCTCTCAAAATATAAGTGAGAAAATATGATAAATAAGAACTGTAGTAACACAGGCGACCATATGCGAGAGAATTACGAGAAGACTCTACTTAATTTTAGGTTTATCACATATTTTTTTATTTTCCTTTCCCTTGCGTGGAATAATGAGCTTCAGGCTCTAGCGACGAAGTTTCAGCAACTGTGGATGTTTTTTTCTTATGAGGTAGGGTCGTTGGCCACACACCCAAACCTTTACATCCACTTTGCCAGGATTACTACTGGCTAGACGAGGTTTAGGAGTGCATGTCGATCGAGAATCAAACCGGGACCACGTGTATGTGCATTTATATCAAAGTTAAGTCATTCTGAAGACGAAAATAATAAACAGACTTATCAACAAGTGATCGATTAATGGAATACATACCTTATCGAAACAATCTTCCCACTGTTTACCATTTAATGAATGTAATGTTGGTGAGAGTAGAGCCTTCTGTAGATAACTCAATGCATCTGTTCTAACATCTCGACGAATATCTGAACAAAGTCTAGCTGTAGCTTGAAGTAAAGGTCGCCAACAATTAGTCCATAAATGATCTAGATTTAATCGATCTACATTAGTTAGTGTAGATTCAGCCACTAACTCACGGGTGCTATTTAAATGTTTATCGCTGTCAACATCACCGTCATCATTTGTTGCAGCACATGATGGTGTTACTCTATCAAAGCTCACTTTTGTCCATTCAGTATATATCGATATCGCTCGTGTGAACAATATACTGATCAGATCAAGAAGCTGTAATCAACATAGAAAGAAAAATAATAAAAATAAAAGCACAAATGTCTGACACAGAAATGAAGCAGACAAAATAAAATTACATATGATACAACCTCAGAAACTTCATTAACTTGTACAATCTCATGCATACACACACATACATAACAATACCAGAATATAAGGAATATTAACTAGAGAAGTGAACTTTTCTAGTTGACCTACCTGGATAGCAATAACACTAGTCACAGGACTCAACATCGTTTCAGTGAATAAAATTCCATTTTCAGTTTTTCTGCATTTCTCCTTCTCGTGATATTCATTATCCGTATCTGAATCGGACAAAGCATAATGACAATGGCGTTGATTATGATGATGCATTTGATGATTTGATGAAACTCTTGGACAATCAGATGGAGGTCGACGTGTATCTGTATTGATTTTATTTGTACTGCTATGCGTATCTGACAGACGACTCTTATTGGTGTGTTTTGGTGGTCTATGAAGACACGCTTCAACAAAAACTCGTAAAGCTTGAACAGCATACTGGTAATAAGTAACAAGAAAATAACATCAAGTGATATGGATTACCGGAGAATAGCTGTAAAATGTATATACAAGGAAAATAATACTGAATACTAAACATAATAAATGAAATGAATGTGATACAATTTTCTTTTCTTACACGAATCACAGCAGATGCGCGGAACAGCTAAATGATTGAGCTGGGAGTAGAATTCGTCTGGTTACCCAGTCATCTGTGATATTGTACTTCATTTCATCAGAACTTATTGCCTACCTAATAAATTTTTAAAAGCCTATCTCGTCAGAAGAAACCAACAGAGAATACTTCGCATCTGCTGAAGATAATTATAGCCTATATGCCATAAAAGCAACTTCTCCACTTTCTGTTATCACGACAAACAGGTGTATACACTTACAATCAGTTTAAAAAAATATTTACTGAATTTTGTATGATGCTATACACTACTGATTGATTTACACAATAATCACAGTAGTGGTTTCTGGCCTGGTTGACTGACTAACTGGTTTCAACGTAGAACTTTGCACAGATGTGCACCAGTCTCAGTTGCCACATTTCCTCCATGTAGCACACAAAGCAAGAGACGATAGTAAAGAGAAATCCGTCAAAAAAAGAGATAATAAACAGAAACATGAGACAAAAAGAATAGTAATATATAATAATAGATAAGAACAATACAGTTTTATTGAAAATAATAAATGACAGGATGTCTACACCACCCTACTTGACTGGACTAAACTAACTGCTGTAGATCTCATTGACTGATGAAGCCATGTTTTAGATTGACCATCACTAGCTCTTTCTCTGTGCAACCTGATCCTATATCAACTACTACAACTACAATGGCTAGGAATGCATGCATAAAACATGTCCCAGTCATCTAAATCGATGCAGTTGCTTCAAAACCTCGTCGACTGATCTCCCTTCCTTGCATAGAACTCGACTGAAGCCCAACCTCAATAACGATCACTCTATTATACCACCTAACATGCATGGGAGATAGAACACAGACACCTATGACCAAAGACAACTAGCCTTTGCATATCTTCCACTTTCAATGATCCTGTCTCACAGTCATAAAGAAGGACGGAGAAGGCTGCTGTGCAGTTCACATGCCCTTTGGTCGACAGCCAGCTTGAGTAGGCCAGGTTGAAGTAATCTAAACACCGGCTAGTGAGACCGAACTGATCACCGGTGTGTCTAGTTTGACTCAGTTCAGAGAACCGAATCATTTGGATTCACCACAACTCTGGCTAGCTACTTCGCTAGTAAACACTACAGGTTAATGTGAGTGTGGTATCCAACTATCCATATCAATCAGTAGTAAACATGGAGTCATGCATTTGCACTTGCTTTCTTGATTGCCACCAATGGCGTCGAGAAGATGACACACATTTTGTGTTCTGAATAATTTTGATTTCTACAAGAAACTGCTATGAAATTCAACTTGTGTAAATTGCACAAGTGCGAATTTGCTTTAAGCCTTGTGTGCTCACCTTATTTGAATACACCTCATACCGGCTGAACCAAAGTGTCAATGTACATCATGGAATACACAACGCAAAAGACAAGAAAACCACCACCACATCCCTTTCCAACACAAAAATTTACGGAGAATTCCACTAAAGCTTACAGGACAAGGCAGTATGACATAACGCGTAGAAAGATTACAAAGAAATTTATGTACTGTCTACTATTAATAAAAGGTGGCTGTAATATAGAATTACGTGTATTAACTTGTCAATCACATCACCCACCTGAAATGATGAAAGATTCAATAGTCAGAAAAAATTATCATTAACCAACAAGTCTAAGTTAAAAGATTACAATTAAATGCAAAAAAATAAAGCGTGTTCTACAAACCTCAAAGTTATCCGGTGTTATATGAGCTGGATCACGAACTAAAAAGGCTAAACAATCAGTTGCTTGTTCTAATGTCACTGGATCACGTGACCCTATAGGCACTTCGTAACTTAACACCAATGGAGTGGTAAATAAAGATGATTTATCCATAATAGGATTTTGTATTTCACTAATTGACAGCTTGGATAATACGTCATAGGATTCTGAAAAAGCCTTTTTATTTATCTCAAGCGTTGTTGGATCTACTTCTGATGATGAATTGACTGAAGTTATCGGTTCATTGACTTTTTCTGATACTTTATCATATTGTGTATTGGATAGCTGTAGCGACGAAGAACTTGATACAGGTGGTGGTGGTAGATCATGAACAGTACGAAGTGTTTCACTATCGCTGGTATAACCACGATTTGATTCATGCCCATTTGTAGGAAACAACTGTCGACTATTATCAAGCGTCGTTCTTTCCAGCTCATCTTTATTAGCATCTAAAATTCAAAAGGGATACAAATTAAAAATAAGGAAGAATGCGTACATGATGAAAATATGCTTAAAGAAGTAAATACGAGAAAGTTCCAACGAGAAAGTTTTCACAAAAAAGTTTGACACCATTGTGAAGGAATGTGAACAATGAGCGTTGGTTCAGTGACCTTGGTAGGCATTGGCGGGCAACTCGAAGACGCGAATGAAGCAATCGTGTACAAGTTGGAGGAAGACGAAAAAATACGAATAAAAGTACGATACATTATTTGTAAAACATTTGTTTATACACTCCGTATGACAGATTGAATTTAATTGCTGAAGAATATATTTCCTTATAACAAATCCTTGTGTTTTAGAATTAAAGTCGATAATCATACTTAGAAGTTGTCGATTCGGAGAGTCTTCGCAAATAATAAGAATTTAGGGTTGAGTTCCATAACAACCATTAAATTTAAACTAAGAAACATTTTCCATATTGGTTTGATCATTACATTTATCACACAGTGAAACAGTGTTATTTACTGGATGACGTTTCGAACAAAATTTATTGTTCATAATCATATCAGTTGTAATCACACGACTTTGAAATTTGAGTTTTATAGTTTTCTTTGTCCTCTCCTATTTGTCGTAGGGGTAGTAGAATTTTCCAGATATCTGGGACAGGTGTTGAATCATTCCTATTACATGCATTTGCAGCTGATTCGATAAACAAAGCTTCTGTTATCAATCTCTCCTTCCACCCTGTGACATTATATTTTAAAACTGTCATCTTATCCCATCCTAATATATGGTTGTATGTAATTGCATGTAGTGAGTACTATAGCTGAATTATTCTCTAGATTTCTTATCTTATTCAGGTCAACTAATATGGATTTTGCTAGGCTGTTATGTTCGGCTAGTCTGACTGTCCCTGTTCTACTAGTTTGACCTATGTGATTGACCTGATAATCAGCAGTATGTATGGTGTTGTTAAAGTTGATACGTCAAAATACCCTAGTGGACCTATAGTTGATTTTGGAAATTCACCTATTTATGAATTATCTAAATAGTTAGCCATGGTATTAAATCCCCTTAAAGTCCACTAGAAATCTAGACTAACAAATTCTTATGAACTAAAACACAGATTAGATCATTTAAAATTAGATAATGAATAAAAATGGTTAGTTTTGACATTGTCAGTTTATATACACCTATACCAAGAAATATGGCTATAGAGGCAGTCAGAAAACAACTAATTTCTGACTAAGAACTCGAACTTAGGACAAAAGTGCCACTTGAGGACATAATGCTGGGAGTACAGCTATGCCTGAATTCAACAGTATTTAAATTCTACGGGGAAATATACAAACAAACTAAGGGAGTTGCCATGGGATCACCAATATCCCCAGTTGTAGCAGATATATTCATGCATAGGTGGGAAAACATCGCGATTGAAACATTTAGCCCCATCCCAAAAGTATGGTGGAGGTATACAGACGACACATTCACTGTACTCAGAACACAAGATATAGATAGATTTTTGGAACACATCAACTCGAAGGTAGAGGCAACTCAATTCACTTATGAATTGGATAGTCAGGAAGGGGAGCTTCCAATGTTAAATTACAGCGTAAAAAGAAAAGAAGATGGGAAGTTAAACACTAGTGTTTACAGGAAACCCACACATTCAAACAGATATTTGGACTTCCGATCATCCTATCCTATGTCAGTAAAAATAGGATTGATAAGATGTTTAGGTGATAGAGCATAAAAACTAGGTGGTACCAAGGAGAATCTAAGACAGGAAGTGAGACATATGAGAGAAGCTTTGAAACTTAATAATTACCATGATAAATTAGTCAGGAAGTAAGTAGAGAAATATAAAAATAAAATAAATAATGATAGTAGTGATAGTGAAAATAATAATAATAACAGTATTAATGACGACATGCATTTCAAATATGCGCAAGACAACACCAACAATAAGGAATCCAAATCATCAGTAGTAATTCCATACAAGGAAGGAACCTCGGAAACCTTACGCAGAATTCTTAACAAGGCAAGAATAAAAGTGGCATCCAAACCTACAAACTTAATTGGAAACAAGCTTTGTCGGTTGAAGGATCCTGTGGAGCCTTTAAAACAAAACAACTTAGTTTACCTAATACCCTGCAATGGTTTTCAGGTCAATCACATAGGTCAAACTAGTAGAACAGGGACAGTCAGACTAGCCGAACATAACAGCCTAGCAAAATCCATATTAGTTGACCTGAATAAGATAAGAAATCTAGAGAATAATTCAGCTATAGTACTCACTACATGCAATTACATACAACCATATATTAGGATGGGATAAGATGACAGTTTTAAAATATAATGTCACAGGGTGGAAGGAGAGATTGATAACAGAAGCTTTGTTTATCGAATCAGCTGCAAATGCATGTAATAGGAATGATTCAACACCTGTCCCAGATATCTGGAAAATTCTACTACCCCTACGACAAATAGGAGAGGACAAAGAAAACTATAAAACTCAAATTTCAAAGTCGTGTGATTACAACTGATATGATTATGAACAATAAATTTTGTTCGAAACGTCATCCAGTAAATAACACTGTTTCACTGTGTGATATGTCTAATAAAGAGACGAATATGGAATTACTTACTTCTATAGTGCTCACGTTTTTTACATACATATTTAATAGGAATTATTTTAGGTCAATGCAGCAGATATGCTGACCCCATTATTGCACAAGGGATGAAAAAAAGGAAAGGTGCTTAGCGATAGGAAGAAAGAATGCCTACCTTGTTAGACTGCCAAAGTAGGACAACTTACGCCTGGCTCTACAAGAACTAACTGGCGTAGAATAATGCTCCTGACCACGCCAAGTAAAATACTCAGCGACATCATCCTGGAGAGAATAAAGGATGCACTAGATATGGAACTCCACCTCACAAAACAAGCAGGATTCAGGAAAGACAAATAATGTGCTGATCAAATCGCAACTCTACGTATCATCATCATCATCAAACGAAGCATAAAATGGCAGTCAAACCTCCGCCCTAGCTTCATCAACTTCAAAAAGGCTTTCAACAGACAGAGAAATAATTTGGAGACTACTTTAGCATTCCGGTTGCAATGCCCAACAATCAGATAAAAATGCCACGTGTCAGTTGATCCACATCGGAAAAATCTGCGACGCATTCGAAGTGAATACAGGAGTAAGAAAAGACTGGTTGGCTGCCTAGTATTATAAATGATATTCCTAATTGTGATCGACTGGATTGCGCGGAAGACAGCGCGTTAGGAATGAGAAGACAGGAGTACGCTGGAGGAACAAAAAGACTCTAGAAGACCTAAAATTCGAAGGTGATTTATGTTTAATACCACACAAACTCGAAGACTTCTAGGCGAAAACCTACACACTGGCTGAAGAGCCTGACAATGACGACAGGATTCCGGGTGAAATTAGAGAATACGGAGGAGATAAAGATAACCAACCAACAGCAACAACAACCAGCACTAATCACCCACTATCAACGGGTGAGATGTGACAGAAGTTACTTCCCGGCTTCACTAACCTAGGAAGCACGGTCTCAAACAGAGGTGGTCGAAACGGATGAAGACGTCAAAGTTAGTCAGAATCGGAAAGGCAAGATGCGTCTTCACAAATCTGAAATATGTTTTAAAAAATCTTTTGAAATCAGCATAAAGAACAAGATTAGGATTTTCGTCACCAATGTGAAGTCAGCCATTTCTCATTTATGACGGGCGCATCACGAAAAGAATTTCCGACAGGCTACTGTAGACTTCTATCAACAGCCGTCACATACTTAAGATGAAATGACTGGCCAGAAGGTTTGCATAACATTACTTGCTACCTAGTGTTCAATAAAATGTATAAATTTATTCGTAGAGATAAAAAACAAAATAATTACAATCAGCTTACAAATCAGTTTATCACTTCCACCTTTTTGTATAATGATATTCGCTCGTCGACCAGCACCACAAACCTCTAGTAAGCCAAAGATAAGCTTCCAATCTGTAGTTGGATCTGGTAGATCAGCAGCGTGATTTCTTAACAAATCTGTTAAACCAGCAATCACCTGTCGACCAACACGTGAACCTTGTTTGAATAGCGCTAATAGCATAGAGTCAACATTGTTGACGCCGACAGTAGAAGACTTCTTATTGATACTACGTGAATTGGACATTTTCGGTGAGGTAATACCACCAACACCAACACCCCCGCCCCCTGACTGTCTCAATGTTGAAGATGATGCGTTTGTTTTTGCATTAACATAGTACATCAATTGTTCACCATGATTTAAAAGAAGCCAATACAATGTTGCAAATATCTGAAATAGATTGAAAAGTAGGTCTACTACATATTTATTTCATGAATTCAATAAGCAAAGCAACTAATCGTATCCACCATCCTGTTACACTTAATAATTACAAAATTCCTTTCAATTCATAAAAAAGAATGTAAACAATCTCAATAAACATGAGCGTGTATTATCATTAGCAATCGATAAATTCGCATGTAAATACCCGGTGAAAGAAAATCACTACTCGCTTATAGGTCAGCTTTTTTAACCGAATGATGTAAGAGAGTATGTTGGATGTAGGGGGGAACAAATGCCGATGACTTTCGTTGGTGGTGATGCTATTACATGTCACAAATTAGTAAATGTTAAAATCCATAGGCCAACACCATTGAATTCTATCGTAGTGACTGAGTAATCGACAGATACACCTAATAACATAAAAGCCCTAGTAGGTGTGAACTGCCGAAGAGTCCCAAAATGAGAGAGAAACGGTTGTCCAATACTCCATAGTGTTCAATATTCCTTTAACCGACATCAGCTAGCGGATCTAACTTGAAGCTAATCAGATGTCTTCAAGTACTGATTTGTAGGGATTTGATTGATTGGTTAAAGGATTTCATCGTGAGCTGACACCGGTTAGAGGACCACTGGAAAACGTGGGAGTACTGGAAAGTTGTTTCGTCCTTGTTTGGGGCTCTTCATTAGTACGCACCCACTGCCAGGGTTCGGACCCGAGATCTTCCAGTTAAAAGACGAGCTCGTAAGCCATTAAGCCACTGGGACCCGGATCCAATGGCCCATCAATTCCAACTCCTGCCAATTCACGATATAGTGCGACCACTAGCCAATGCCTTCGGCGCGTATTTGTCTTCACGACCAACCTGCTGTACCCTACTGGTCACGACTTCCCACTAAAACTACCTACCTGAATAGGGCCAGTCACTAGTGGGCATCTCATTGATATTCAAACAATGGTGAGCAGTCCCAAACCAGGATGAAACAGCTATCTAGTACTCCCAGGTTTTCCAATGGTTCTCTAACCAATGTCAGCACATAAGGAAATCCCGCAACCAATCAAATTTCTGCTAGCCAGAAAGAAATAAAATTATCAAGTTATAAAGAGTAGTACGCTTAAACGCAATGGATATCTCTGATCAAAAGGAAATAAATTGACAGTAATGTGACAAAGTCAAAAAATTTCCATAGTTTCAGTGCTGTTAACGAAGGCCAATAAAAGCATGCCTTTCTTCAAAAAATATCTCTAATGACAGCATAGCCTTTGCGAGTTGAACAGGCTTTTTCCTTACAGTTTCTACACAACCTACAAAGATATAAATTTCAAACAGAAACAGATTCAGCATTTTTAGACTGCACAGTTCAGGGTGGAAATTCACTAGCGTCTTCTTCGTAAAGTTAAAATATGTTTACATCAAATTATTACATCTATTTAATACCATGAATTACAATCAACCGACACTACAATCGTGAGTCATTTAAAATGTGAGACAGCTTACAAGCACAGTTAAATAAGGATCCAGTGTTAAGAAACAAACAGACAGACAACTCACTTGACTAGTTACTTCATGTCGACGTAACAGACAGATGGCTAAACGAAGAAAGCCAACAATTATTCTTTCAACAAGATGATTCGGTGGACGTGTAGATAACAACACGTCGGCCAGATGGTATCTTACCAAAGACCAAAACCCAGCAAATCGATCACGATTATGCATTAAAACACGAATAAGCAATTCAAGACAAAATACACGACAATCATCTAACGAAGAGGTACCATCACTTGCAGAATTACACGGTGAATAATAAGATGCAGTGGAACTGGCACTACCAATCCATTGAAGTAATGGTGGTGAAGTTGAAGAAAGGGAATTCTGGGGCAATGAAGTATAGTATTGTTGTGTTGGAACACCTGTAATAGCTTCTGAAATATAAGTGCTGGTTTGAGCATTTGAACCAGTAGTGGACAAGGATGTAAATATCCCTGAATCAGAATTGACACTATTTTGTACTGACTGAGAAGTAATATGCAATAGACCATCCATAGAAAACATTGAATCAAAATCAAAATTATTCAGCAGTGTAGCATGAACATCTCCGCGTGTAGCGCATAACAAAGCCTATAAAAGTGAAGACAGAATGAATTAAACAAACTTTTTAAACCGCTGAAAACAAACCTTACCGATTAATATTATTCAACATATTTTGAATATTGAATTAAAAATAATCGACTTCGTAATATAAAGAAACTATAATGCACAGTTTTGTGTGAAATGTAAACACTATTGATAACAGAAAGTCAAAGAAGTACATTAATGGCATTTACTGTACAGTGATGATCCAAGCTGTCATATTTTCTATAACTAAACATAAGTCAAAGAAACACAGATAGACAGATATAAAGGTATTGAATTGAATTTTTGATTTTCCCGTCGATTGATTGGACCGAAGTGTTCGGTCTCAGGTTGACATGCCGGCTTCTTGTGCAGATGCTTCGACGATGTCTGGGGATTTGATTTGTGGTCTAGTGGATAACGCTTTGGCGTTTGAAACTATGGGCACTGGGTTCGAGCCTCGGTGGGAACATCATCACTCACTGAGAAATGCAGGTACATCCAGCTGACGAGTCCCAATTAGGACGAAATGCGCATCCTGGATTCCACTGCTAGCCACCATCCACCAATTGTAGATATAAAGGTAGTTCATGAAATGCCTCGGAATACGAAAAAAACCAAAGAAAAATGATATTATTATGATTAAGATGAACGTAGGGTACGAATTTATTTACCTAAACTAATGTTATCGATTCTGAATCATACTGCCCAGTATTCCATTGACAACTTTTGTGAACTATACATTGCTTTGGATCAAAAGTCAGTGACTTCATGGATTCGTAACACGTTTTGATAACCAAAGCTATTAGCTCACTTGCACTAACATAATAGGAGTTAACTGTGGAAAACTGATGTACACATAATGTTTAAAGCGTATGAGTGATGTTTTTCTACACCTAGTTAAAATTTGGTGAAGGCGATACATGTAAACCATTAAGAGTGAATTAAAGAGTACAATTACAGGTTACTATTTCGTAATGTCCATTTATTACTAATAACACAATTCCATTGATAACTGTCATCTCTTTACGCAGGGACAAAGAAACACAATTACCAAAACAAGTGCTTATAACCAAATGCATTGCTGGCTTCTCTTAACTTCGTAATTCTATCCTAATCGGAAGGAAACTACATGATATCCTCCCAATAATAATGAGCATTTACACACTTATTCCCCTTTATGAATTTGAATAAGGCAAGAACAACAGCAGTTTGTGCAAAAAAATAAAATGGTACCATCATTGCTTGTTTCGTTGGCTTCTCGTCAGCTTAGCTGATTACAGCCCAAAGGCATTATTAAGTCTTATGTACAAAAACAATTTTAGCATACTTTTACAAAGAGTTCATTGTCAAAGAAAAAATCAATATATGCATGTAATGGCAATAATAATAATAATAATCACCTAATTCGAAACAATAATAATCATACACAATGGAATTTTTGGCGTTAAGTAATCAAATGAAAGAAAGCATGAAAACATCCGGTTACCAGACAGGGTAAGGAAAGACAGATAACCGGTTCTTTCTGAACACATAATTCAGGTTTCAGGAGTTCGATGAAGATTACTTTGGCACACTTGAGGAGAATCCAACTCTTCTGCATACTAATAATTTTGCACACTAGCCAACTCATTCTAATAGATATACAGAATTTAGTTCATCTCGTCCGTTATCTACAAAGGCAGGCTTAGTTAGCTTTCTAACAAACCGAGCAATAACACTAAGTAGTACAAGAAAAGACCTAAATCATGAAATGAAACCGATAGAAGAGGCGTTGGTGTGAAATAACTATCTTATAAAATTCATCATTAAGATTAGAAAACATCAGAAGCAAAAAAATAACGGTGAGACTAATAATGATAACATGAATAAGAAAGAATATAAGGCATCTATAGTTTTACCATTTAAGCAGGATTCTTAATAAAGCAGGAATTAGGGGGGCATTTAAACTCAAGCACAAACTCTGTAGGCTAAAGGACCTAGTGGACCCAATTAAAAGAAATAATATAGTTTACAAAATACCTTGTAATGTCTGTGAATGAAGTCAACTACATAGGCCAAACCAGTAGATCAGGAGTGGTGAGATTACCAGGGCATAAGAATTTAGCTAAGGTTAGCATAAGTGATCCCACGAAGATAAGTAATTTAGAAAAAAACTCATCAATCGCACTGCATGCATGAGCACACAACTACACAGTAGCTTGTAATAGAGTTCAAATTCTAAAAAGTAATATAGGTAGATGGAGAGAGAGAGAGAGATTGATTACTGAATCCTGCTTCATCGAGTCTACACCCAACATAGGCAATAGAAGTGACGCAACACAAATACCAGTCATATGAAAGATATTATTACTAGTCAAATTGGAGAATAATAAATAATGTTAAAATGTATTCAAATCACATTGTAACTTTCTAACAAGCTACAACTTCATTTATATACATGAGTAAAAATTGATTAGACATTTAAATAAAAATCAGTATGAGATAAAGTAAATTCAGAAATAATATTAGTGTTACCAACCAATTACAATCAGGTGGGAAATAAGATGTGTTTTTACAGTAAAAATAAGTGTGAGTGACATGATAATGATTATGCGCAGCAATAGTTTGTGCTCGAAACGTCATCACTAAATAATACTGTACAACACTGTGTGATTTATCAGAATATAACCTTATCTATAATGATATTATTTTATTACTCTGCAAAAACTGCTGTAGTTCTTGCTTTATTCAAATAAGCCCTAAATATCTACAACTGTACATTGGCATCTGAGGTAATATATACCAGATACAAAAGTATTTAAGGTACTTTTTTATCGCTTTTGCATGCCAAACACAAAATGGCTCACGTTTTAGTCACGGTAGCTGTTCACCTCAGGCTAGAGCTCACTTTTTTTCAGGATTTACTGTCGGTGGATAATAAATTTGACAAGTTCAGTATGTGCGTCAACGAGGAATAGAACCCAGTTCTTTTGCGTGACTGATGAACATTCTACTATAGAACCACTTACACTCAAATTGCGTTACGATTGACAAAGAAGAAATAAGACAAGTTCAGAGCTGTAGCCTAACATTACAAAATTTGAACCAACCATATATAACAGCGAGTATATGAATAGTCGACAGGACAAAAAAACTTACCATGAAACATAATGTTTTAGAGATACGGATTTCGAACACTGAGGTAATAAACTCAACCTGTGCGCTAGACCCACTGTTCGCAAAAATAAATACTAGTGGGCATGTATCATTACTCTATTAATTGAACATAAATATGGAATAAACCTGGGCCAGACGAAACAAATCAGAGTTAATACTAAAAAGTAAGTTTTCAAAATTAAACCTACCTTGATTAATTCAATTAACGAAGCGTCAACCAAAAATTTACTGTCTTCAATCAATTGTGCAATATGACATTGTAAAACAACTTCTGAAGCAAAACGAGTAGCTGTATGTTCATCTAACTGCCCACCATTACGGTTAATAGAGGATGATAATAAATTATTTTGATTCATCATACTACTGAATAATTTGCTTTCATTTTGATTGAATATTCCGCTATCTGGTGAGCTATTACCCTTCGATGATGATTTACAATCACGAGATGATGAAGATATACCATGATCTTTTTTATTTAATAAAATCCCATCGTTGCCATTTTCGTCAACATCATCATCATCGCTGTCATCATCTTTTGATTCATCTTCTTCATCACCTGAAGCAATCCATGTTGATCCAGTTGTTAAATACTGATAGAATGAACTAAAAACACCCAGTTCCCTGAAAGTTAGACAGAAAAGAAGCAAAAAGATGAATGTTACAATTGTTCACTTCAATTCTGAGTTAGTCATCTAAACTTCGTTGTGACTTGGAGGACTAAGATACACGTCAATTTTAAGCCGAAATAGACCGCCGAAACACTTCAGCGCATAAATAGGCCCCTCAAGATTTTCTGTCTAATGTTCCAGACATCTCTTAACACAGATCAGTCTATTTCATAAACAAAGTCTTTGTTAAGTCCCTCTACTTGATAATTCATAACAGTTAAAGCCGTCACCATATTCTCCGATTTCATATCTTATCCACTGATCATAATCACCACAAAGGCTTTAGTCGATGCTCATGCAATCTGCTCTCGTGCCACACCTGAACAGTTCGAATGATGTTAAACATACAATCTATTTCCTAAATATTTAGCTGCAAAACACAAATGGACTGGGTATAGCGACAGACTTATTCAGGATAATATTATGTTCATAGAGATGTTAGGTAAACATTACTCTAAAAATGGACCTTATATTTTAGTGTATACACCAAAAAAACTATGCAACCTCACAATTTACTTTTCTATACACAGTGGAATTTGTTTTGTTCACGCAAATACTGTAAAAGGATTAAGAACCTCCCAATAAGCGAGTTTATTGATCACTTTATACTGAAGAAGCCTTGATTTTCCAACCCCGCGAGAACTAGATCTTCTTACACAGTGAATGCACGACTGTATGTGAAAAAACCTGAAAGAGATGACCATCGCTGTTATTTCATTAGCAAAGATTCCGTGTAGATGTGCCTAAAACGATTTGACAGTTTCCCGTGGAACCTTTAATTTACTGTTGCAGAACTGAAATCAATCAGTCCATAGGTGAAACCTAAAAACAAAAGTTGATGACAGTAAGTTCCGTGGACTTAACTTATTTTTAAAGAGACGTACTTAATCACACAGCAGATAGCTCTCAAATGAGATCGAGTTAATCATATATATATATACATATATATATATATATATATATATATATATATATATATATATATATATATATATATATATATAGAAGTGGTAGGGTGTATATAACTTCTCAAAAGTACAGAAGGAACATGTTCCCATCATTTAAACAACTTAGATTTCGAACAAACTACACTTAGATTAGACAAGTTCTAGACATTGAAAGAAATATGATCAAAGATTAAAGGTATGTGTACACACTAAATGATATCCGTGCACTTACCGATTAGAATTGGTATTCTGTGAATGGGAAGTTTTCTGTCTACGTTTAAGCGAATGACGTGAAGACTTCGACCTACTTTTCATCGGTATGCAACCTTCAGTTGTCACATAGACCTTTCGTGATGAAGTTAGAAAATCTTGTGATTCTAATAATTCATAGGGTATAAGATTCGCGCGAAACAATTGAAGTAGACAGTCTAATAGTGAATGCCAACCATAGCGTAGAATATCTGCGTGTTTCGAAGCAATACTAAATACTAAGCGTAGAGCTAGACAAGCTTTTGTATTACGTCCAAGCAGAACTGACAAATTTGTAGGATTCTAGGAAGAAAGATGACAGAGAACTAATCGGGAGAAAACTATGCATATCAAGTAAATGAAAAAAATCAAGTAAAAATTGTTGTTGTGGCACACCACTGGAGCACTACACAACAACCATAAAACTGTATATAATACTAATCAATATCAGTAATTGAAAAGCATTCACATCAGGCAGGAGAGTTTTCCGAAAGGAATCAACGGTGAATTCTTGCCTCAAACTGTGATTTTATAAGGCGTATGAGATTTCAGAATACAAATAGCACAGAGGAGGAAATATTTTCATAATATTCTCAGTAAAGATATCACATTTCGTTATTCAGGATGGACAACATTCACACGAGATAGGTATTTGCTAGCCAAACTGAAGCTATCTCTCTAGATATCGACTGGTCGTCTGGCTAGTTTTTTCGAAGTCGTATTCACCAGCATTGCTTATAACTCGACAAACGGTTTCATCTCATAAAATTTACACATTTTTACATGCTACAAGCACACAGTCACTGATTTAGTAGATTACTACTACACCATGGTTTAATTATTAAATTTTCTCATTAACCTAATTTATATAGTGTGTCAAAAAAGGGAACATAAACGTATGTATGACCTGGGTGTAGATGTTCAATATTATTGACTTATTTTCTTCAAAGTAATGTATACTCACTAGACCTACAATACAAAAAGTGAAATAGACTATCACCGAATTTGATTTAATAGCAGTAACATCATCACATCTTCAGACATGAATAGTTACATTCCTCTGAGGTGGAACTGTAAAACCATTGGCTTCTAATCTTATACGCAAGTAGATATCATCAGTTCTCAAACAATAAGTGTGAATGAGCACATAACAAAGGGCTGTCATGTTTCAGTTTCAGAATTCTCACACATGATCGAAATCCTGTGGTGTAGCACCATTCTCTCCCTCATTTAAATTGACAATTTACTTCATAGGTTTATTTTTCTATACTGAGTAATTTCAATAGCAATTAGAATTTTAGCATACAACCAGCTAGCCAACAACCTACTGCGCCATAAATATCCAGAAGGAAGTGGAGATGGATTTGGGCAGACTTTGAGGTGGCATTCAGGTAAAATTACACGTCACTCACTCCCGCGTGGAAGTCGAGTAGGTAGGGACGAGTTGAGTATCTGTGGGTGGTCAGATTATACGACAATAATATCAAGGAGCTGGATTGAAGTGACAGTTGAGAAAGAGGGAGACTAGAGATGTCCTATTGCGGCCCTAATTATATTCTATAAAAGTCCAAATGATAGACAACATTAGAATAGAATAGAAAACCACTAAAACTCACGATATCATTGGCAGTTAATAAAGTTGTAAATTTACACAATGAAATAACTAAATTGTCTAGAACATCACTCATTCCATAATAAGCAGCTATAGTTGCACATCGATGAAATCCATCAACCGCTTTATTCTGAACTTCAGGATCTGTAGTTTTATCAAAGATAAACGATAATGCTGATACTGTTGGTCCCCAGATTAATTCAAATAAATCAGCATCCAATACACCAGTCTGTAGATGAATGAACTGTGCTTGTTTTGTTGATGAACGCCGAAGTAGACACTTTAGACAGGATTCATATATCAAAGGAAGAAATAATTTTTATTTTATTTTTATTTTATAAAAAACGGAACGCTTTAAGTCAACTTTGTGTTTGTGGCTGATGTCTTTTAATATTTTCTTTAAAATCTTGTTCGTGAGGTGTCGACGAAAAAATACGCAATACAGAATTCTGCCTACTTAGTTATCATACAAATTATTGTGATAAAATTGAATAAATAACAGCCTAATAGTTATTGAACAAAACATTTGTGTCTGGGATTCGATTGTTCATGTGTATTAAATATTCTGCTCACTCACTGGTGCACACTGTTCTATTCCATGCGTGTGATACATAGCCATTAGGTGAAAAAGAACCTAAGAAACTTTAATAACTCGACTATAATTAGTTTTACAGTACTTTCTAAGTATACGTGTAGTCCATCGTTTAGTGCAGACTGAATTCTACCAGTCAAGTACGTAACAACGTAGTCAACGTGTCATGTGGCCCGCCATCATGATGCACTCTGAACTGTTATTACATGGTTGAAGGCAATCAGTTGGAAAGACTGGAGCTAGGTTTTGCGTTTGTTGACACCCATCGACAAGGCGTATTTGCAGTCTTGAAGGAATTGACGTCTCTTCTGAGATTCGAATCCACGGCACCATCGAGCTAGTCGAAATCGTGACTGGCCTCCGGTAGGACTATAATGAGTAATTTGACTGGATAGTAGATAGAAACTAGTGTCATGCGCCTAGTGGTTCGTTTGGTGCAAACCTCAAATATCTCAGGCAAAACTGCATATGCATACTCAGGCACTACCTGAATAATTAAACTACATATGTAGAAGTAGAGTGAAACTGGAAGAAGCCAAGCATGACCGAACCAGGACATGTTATTAATTCATGAACTCTGTGACAAGTGGATTTGCAAAGAATAGAGGAAATATTCATTGTCTCACAGTAATTTACATCAACATAGCAATACAAAGATATTGGTTAGAATCGACTACAATGCACTCAGATGTACTGATGCTTTGTTCTGCTTCTAATTATACTATCGTACACCTTTTATTTAAGTTCCCTTTCTTCCCTTTTTATTATAGCGCTGTGACATTTTGTACATATATATACTATTCCCCTTTGTTATGTACTCGTCGAGTAGTTAATAGTCCTGACGCAGAAAGAGGGAAATCAGAAGACCACCAGGTTTACGATGATACTTGTATTTTCCAGACAAGGAAAATAAATGTCACACAAGAGTGTGAGTGAAATGGTACGAGTGTACGAAAAAGTGTGTGAACAAGAATGAACAAGAATAATAAAGTAAGAGTATATATGAAAATGACCAAATATACATGAATTATTAGACAGACAGTCTTACCATGATTGGTTGTAATGTCATGTGACAACAAGGTCATACACTGTTTATTTAGTTAGTGGATAGACAAAAGCACAATGTCAGTTTTAACGGAATATCGATCCATATACACATAGCAAAATATAACAGACTGTCAAAAACAAAACACATCATGTGGATACATATCACCCTTATTCCAGTAGCTCCTATTTCATGTGACATGAATGACAAATTACACCAGTGTGTTGTGATATAACGTCCAATGTTGACACTGCCCGTCTGTTATTCAATTATCATCATTCCAAACTATATACCAGTCTATCAGGTCAGATTAAGTGTTGATTGACGATGCATACTTCAGGTGAACAGTAAGTTTACACAATTCAGTTTATTAATCACAACACACAAGTCATTATGTTCATGGAGAGTTGAAAATCTTAACACTAACCCACCTTCCATAAGTAGTTTTCACGAACCAAACCTGTCTGTTCAATAGGCATGACAATTTCATTGTTATGAATATTATTGAAAATTGATTCCAACAGTTTTGGATCAAAATCTTGATTTCCATTCATACCTGAGATAGAGGAAGGTGAAATTTACTTATCGGCAGGCAACAAAAAAAATCAAATGCAATTAAATGTATCTAAAATTCCAAAAATCTTCAACGTAACTATTAGGCTAAATGTAACATGTTAATATTGCTGCACACAGTATTTTCACACTACACAAACATGTTTTTGAGGGGAAACCCCATATATGCTTCTTTGAGGATGGATTTCATCAATAAGCAAAGTCAGTTAGAAAATCATTGAAAACGAGGGTGTACTGGATAGCCGTTTCATTCTAGTTCGGGGATCATCGGTAGTACTCACCCATACCATGGTGTTCGAACACAGGACCTTCCGGTTACAAGGTAAGCTCGTAGACCATTGATCGGGTTTCAGTGACTCAATGGTATACGAGCTCGCCTTGTAACCAGAAGGTCCTGGGTTCGAAACCCGGTGGGTGCGTACTGCTGAGGAGTCCCAAACTAGGACGAAACAGCTGTCCAGTACTCCCAGGTTTCCCAGTGGTTCTCTAACTGATGTCATCTCATGATGAAATCCTCCAACCGATTGTATTCTACCCTAATAAACATCATACTTCTGCTCTCCCCCCCCCTACATCAGTCTCGCTGAGTTCACAATACATGACTTGTATGTAAACCACTGTATAGTCTACTGTAAATGAAGGTGAGTGATGATCAGGAAAGATTTATGTGCTTTAGGAAGTGTAGATGGCTGTCCATACACTGGAAGTAAATTTTTCTACTGGAGTACTTGCAAAAGAAAACGAATGAGTATTGAGTGAATTGCAGAGCTCATGGAACAAATGACTGAAGCCAGTCATACACGATCTGTTCGAAGTGATTTTTGGAGTTGTGTTCTTACCACCGCAACATAAGTCAGCATATACACAATTTTTGAGGTCAACGTTTTCTAAACCTCCTCTCTAGAGCATAGATGCAGCATAACTGGCTTGCTAGTCATACGAGACAAACACCTTACTGTTGTTAGATACCTATTTACCGACAGTACGACTTCATCAACAAACCACAACACAGTGTTAAGGACTTTCACGGTGATACAAACTGCTTTTAGATGACGGTTAGAAACGCCATCTAAATAACCTATCTGGCATATCAGAGCCTGCATGAACAATAATTTTGGCCAATGTAACTCGTGAGGTTATTGTGATATGCAAGTCAGACCACCTTGTCAAGGTAACTATCAGTCAGGATTGTACAGCAATTAAATGTTCAAACGGTTCGGCTGAAATAAACTTGACATGATCCCAGTATAAGCTAATTTCTGATGTCAGCTGGATTCACACAAGAAGATAAAAAGCAAAATTTGAGCAAAGGAAATTCTTTTCGATAATTTACGAGTTGATCACGGATTAATATCAGTTCGAGAACCATTGAGAACCAGGGAGTACTGGACAGCTGCTGTTTCATCCTAGTTTGGGAGTCATCGGAAGTACGCACCCACTGGGATTCCAACCCAGGACCTTCCGGTTACAAGGCGAGTTCGTATTCCATTCAGCCACTGGGACCCGATTCAATGGCCCATGTATTCTAACTTCTACCGATTCGTGATTTAGCGCGATCCCAACCATTGTCGTTGGTGGGACACCCATCCACATCTAATTGGACCTCACTGGTCACGACTTCTCACTAAAAATCCAGGAACTCTGTCCTGTAGAAAGTCACCGGAAGGTCCTGGGTTCGAGCCCCACTGGGTGAGCACTGCCGATGATTCCCAAACCACAATGAAACAGCTGTCCAGTACTCCCTGGTTTTCAATGGTTCTCTAACTGATATCAATCCGTGATCAACTCGTAAAAACATAACCAACCCTTACAAACCAAACTAAAGAATATATATATATATATATATATATATATATATATATATATATAATATTCTAGAATGGTCAACATAAGGATAAAGCCAGGAAACTGTGGTAGAGTATAATTCCATTATGGAGTCAAAATTATAAAAAGTAATGTAGGTAGGTGGAGAGGAAGAGAATGATTACTGAATCCTGCTTCATCGAGTCTACACCCGACACAGGCAATAGAAATGACTTATCGTAGACAGCAGAGATAAGGAAGATATTATTACCAGTCAAATCAGAGGATAATAAATAATGTTAAAATTAATTCAATTCACATTATACCATTCTAACAAGTTATTTATTTTACTAAAAACAATTTATTTCCTATGGTATGGTATTTTATTAATAACAGTAATAATGGGTCAGGATCTACTTTATCTTTCTGTTTCACTCATGTCTTAAATTGATTTTATTGAAATGTGTAGTCAATTTTTACTCATGTATATAAACGAAGCAAGACAATTGTGTCGTCATTAACAATACAGGTGTTTTTTTCAAATACCTCCGATGAAATTACAGTTCAAGAGAGATGCGTAAATTATAATAAGCATAAAAATATAATAGTTAATAGAATATCAACTAATTTAATTGAATTTTTGATTTTCCCGTCGATTGATTGGGCCGAAGTGCTCGGTCTCATGTTGACATGTCTGTTGGCTTCTTGTGCAGATTAGCTTCGACGATGTATCGGCATGTAGTTAAAATTTAATTGGTGGATGGTGACTAGCAATGGAATCCAGGATGCGCGTTTCGTCCTATTTGGAAATCGTCAGTTGGATGTACCCTTATCCGAGACCGAGCACTTCGGTCCAATCAATCGACGGGAAAATCAAAACTTCAATTAAATTACTAAGACCTGTTGCACAAGAGGTGGCCCTCGTGTCCTAAGTGGTCCAGTGGATAACGCTTTGGCGTTTGAAACTTTAGGCACTGGGCTCAAGCGTCGGTGGCAACATCATAACTCACTGAGAAATGCAGGTACATCCAGCTGACGAGTCCCAATTAGGACGAAATGCGCTTTATCCTGGATTCCACTGCTAGTCATCATCCACCAAATGAATATCAAATAAAATTAGGAAAATTTCTACAATAAATTGAGGATCATAGAAACCTTGATGGCCAAGGTATGGAAAACGTCTGAATCAACTTCTTTTGGATACATAGATAAGATTCCAACAGCCTCAGCAACATTTATTAGACGAACTCTTGAGGTGAAATTAAGTTTACATGGTATGCGGTAGGTGACTTTGAAGGCCTTGTTTACGTCAATTTTGTATTCTGTATCCTCGAGGTGAGACAGTAAAGAAGTATGAATGGACCTTGTTTATCCCTTACTTAATCCCAGGCAGGATAATGTTCGGAAATCTGACTATAAACACATTTAATTCTACGGCATATGTAACTGGCTCCACAGGAAGCAGTCAAATGGATAGATGTACTCAGAAGAGGCGAGATTAGGTGGTTTATCTTTAACTCCTGAACTCCAATAAACAGTCTTCAGTGTATAATTCATATTTAAGTTTAAAATGTGCGTCGGTGGCACAGTGGTTAGGACTCTCGCCGACCATGAACATGGTCTGATGTTCGATCCCCTGCTGACGCACACCTGATATCTATGGTCGGCCTGCAAAATTTGGGCTACCGATATTCATGCTGAAAATTCCATACTTGTAACAAACATACAGTGTGGAATCAAGCTGTAATAAAAAAAATTACACCAGAGCTTATAGTAAATCAAAAAATGGGAACTGACCACTTAGGTTTTTTTTAAAATCTTCCATACGCATTGGTGCATTTTGTCGTTTAGAATTTGGATTATGTTGATCAGTGTTCAACATTAATATGGCATATGCCAGTGTAAAAGCTGCATCAACATCAACAAATGGTGAATTATTTGATTTATACCAATGTTCTGCAAAATGTTCCATAATCCTTTGAATTAGTGGTGCTTCACCAGGTAGACGAAATGCTTCTACATAAGCACGAAGAGCTTCATCGATAGGAACTCCAACAAAATTAAATTGTCTATTGAAATTAAACAATAATGAAAATTACAACAACAAAAAATAGTACCAAAAGGCATGTATAAAAGAGAGGGAGAGAAAGAGAGAGAGAGACTACATAAATAACAGTTTATCCATAGCACTAAACTATGACAACCTAAATTGATTATACGTTAACGCCACTCGTGTTCTATCGATAACCGAATCTAAGAATATTCGAAAGAATATTCAAATATACAAATAATATTCAAGTAAATTCATGAAATCTTACTTTATTAGTTCTTCTAAATTCGTATCAGGACTATCTATCTATCCGTTTTCTTTTCAGTATTGCGTTACTCTTAGATGGAGTTGATTTCAACCTAATTTGATTGTTAAGATGTTCACGTCATCATGGTATCTTCATTAATCTCATCATCAACTGCGTCCACTATCTGTACCTTTATTATCAATGACACTATTGTTATTGTTATCTGTGTTATTACTGTCAAATTCAATACCGTAGGTTATATTTTTCTTTATTATGCTTTATATATATTAAAGTCCGAGAGAGATCTGATTGAATTATATATATATATATATATATATATATATATATATATATATATTGTATCTTATTTAACATCCAAACAGTGTGAGAGAAAAAAACAATTTGACCTCTAGTCTAAATAGGAATTAGTTTAAAAGGGGTGCAGTAAAGTTCCAGTGGAAAACCATCAACGGTGGAGTCCACGAAGTCAGCTGTGAAGAGGAAGATCATCGTTGGGATTTGTTTGTCCGCAGTCCTATACATCGCGAATTGACAGCAACTAGTATTAATGGGTCACTGAATTTCAGTCCATTGGCTAAATGATCCACCTGGCAGCCTAAAGATACTGAATCTAATCCTTATTGGGGTAATGGTAGCACATCGATGAAGAGTCCTGCACTACGAAGAAACAGCTATTGAAGGCTCCATGTTTAACGATAGTTTTCTAACTGATGTCAGTTAGTCGTGAATACCGTTTTGAAGTTAGTGTTGTTTAGAAAGGGGGAGGGGTGACTTCCCTAAAGGAGTTGTGATTCATTCGTCTGGACGCCTGACTTCCAACCTGTGGGACACAGGTCCGGACTCCACCCCACCTACTGAGATTTGGGCAGTCTTAAGTTAGTATTGTGTAGCAAAAAGATGTCATATAGCAATCAGCACACACCGTACAGTTGAACCGATTTAATTTTAGCAGATATTCTGTTTTAGAATGAACGGATCGACAATTATTGAGTTAATGTATAATAATAATAATTTAATAATAATTTACTTTAATAATAATAATAATAATAATAATATTATTATTATTATTATTATTATTATTATTATTATTATTATTATTATTATTATTATTATTATTATTATTATTATTATTATTATTATTATTATTATTATTATTATTATTATTATTATTATTATTATTATTATTATTATTATTATTATTATTATTATTATTATTATTATTATTATTATTATTATTATTATTATTATTATTATTATTATTATTATTATTATTATTATTATTATTATTATTATTATTATTATTATTATTATTATTATTATTATTATTATTATTATTATTATTATTATTATTATTATTATTATTATTATTATTATTATTATTATTATTATTATTATTATTATTATTATTATTATTATTATTATTATTATTATTATTATTATTATTATTATTATTATTATTATTATTATTATTATTATTATTATTATTATTATTATTATTATTATTATTATTATTATTATTATTATTATTATTATTATTATTATTATTATTATTATTATTATTATTATTATTATTATTATTATTATTATTATTATTATTATTATTATTATTATTATTATTATTATTATTATTATTATTATTATTATTATTATTATTATTATTATTATTATTATTATTATTATTGGAGAGAGAGACAGAAACAATGTTCACCTACTCTAAACAGTGCAACATACGAGCAGAACAAGTAGTAGTATTATTTAGGCATGATTCATGCACAAAATAAAGTCAGTCAGTACACTACTTGAGTGAATTATATTAACTAATGTAAATGTTAACAGAAAGAATAAAATACTCTTTGACTTCTCATCTCTTTCTTTTCTCACCTAACAAATGCTGCTAAAACATCCACATTCTCACGTTCACTAATATATTCACCGATCATACGTTTTTCTAGACGTGGATTTTCACGAAGAAACACGGCCAATTCATCATAATTCAATGGCTTTTGTAAAATACTATGTTCTTGTAAAAATGTTATTCCACGCTTTGGTTTCACATTGAACTGATCCGAACCAAGCATTAATAACTAAAAAAAAATTGAACAAAATATGCATAATTGTTGAGAGTAACCGTACAAGTCGATACTGGTAATCCTGGAACAACAATGATGCATGCCGCATTACAGCTATACAGTGAGAATTCCCTTAAAGCAAGAGAGAAATTCCTCTTGTTGAGTTTTTGGAAAATGTCATTGATTTTAAGAGAGACTGAGGTCATAAACCGATATATCAATTAGAAAACTACTGGAAACGAAGAAGCATTTGCTGAATAGTATTTCTGCCTCAGTTCGGAAATCTTTTCGTGATGGACTAAGTCTGATGATTTCAGACTACAAGGAGAGGGTATATTCCTCTCGGTCATGTTCTCTTAAACCTGCCAATTTGAGATATAGCACAATCGTCAGTCATTCAGCCAATCAAATCTCCTCAATTTCAATTTAGGCATTTTTTACATCAGAGGATAAAACACAAATATCATTCACGAAAATGAGTGAAGTGTTAATAGAATAAACAAGCTTCTGCCATCTTTAAGTACCTGTATTTCAGTACACTGCTATCACGGATACTGTCAGATAGTTAACTCATCTACACAATTGTATTCTAAATGGAGATTGGTCATGCTCAGAATAGCATTACAGTTTGGTGCCAAAAAGATATCGGGAGTTTAATCAGAGTTGTAGATAAAATTCATATATATGAATGAAGTTGTTATGCAAAGCTTTGTTAATAATGAATTACATAGTGAAGTGTATTTTTGGTAATTGTTAACCAATAACTAATAAACATTCGGTTTACAATTCTCGACGACACTCAAGGGGCTTGAGGAAGATGAATCAATGACAACGCTTACTAACCAATTCTTGTTGATAACGTTTATTTAAGACAAGGAGGCCTACTATCGTTAATGATATTCCCAATTGTGATGGACTGAATTATGCGTCAGACTGTGCATCGGAGTGACAAGACACGAAACCGATGGACTGTCAGAAAGCCTCCAGAAGATCTGGACTTCGCGGATAATTTATGTCTGATGTCGAAAAAGCTCGAAGACCTACACGTAGAAACCAAAAAGTTGCTAGAAGAGGCAGAAAAAGAAAGCAGGAATTCAAGTGAACGAGCGACGGTCTGCCCAAATAACTGGGCTATCAAAATTTCCATCCACCAAAAAGCTTTAATATTGTTATATTGTTATCCAGAAGACAGAGGTGATTAAGATATCTAACAAACTAGAAGAAAACAAGTCACTATCAACAACACAAATCTGAAAAACGTTATTTCGTTCTCTCACCTCGTCAGCATTCTCTCAACTACACACGGAATGGATGAGGATGTCAAATCCGCTCAAGGTCGGAAAAAGCAACACACACCTTCATCAATCCAAAGTAAATGTGAATATTACTGCACTCAGTGACATAATGAAGAAAATTCGCATTTTCAACACTAATAAATGAATGATTGAATGTCAAGTCAGACAGTCAGTCAGTCGATCAGTCAGTCAGTTGATGCTTCTCTATGATTCAGAGACTTGGTGAGCGTGTCACGGAAAACATTTCCAACAGCCTACTACAGACTTCCATCACCAGCTACCTTCGCTGCATGCTGAAGATCAGATGACCGACTGGCGAGAGTAAGAGACAAGGAAATTTGACAACGAACCAACCAAGAACGCATCACCCAACACGTGGGCATGGAAAAACAATGGAGTTGAATTGGGCACAGGCCGAGGAGGTTGTTCAGTGACATCCATCATGCACCGGGCAAATCGTCGAATAGAACTCGAGTGGGAAACGAAGAGTTGGACTTGGTTGTGAGGGTGGAGGAGATGTAGGAGATTGTGTGAAGAGGAGATGACAAAGGCTTATGGTGAATCGTGGAGCCGGACAATGTCTACTGTGGAGAACAGAATGAAATGTAGATGTGCTGTTGAAGGCCTATGTTCAACTCACAACCTAAGAGAACAATAATAATATGTGTATATGCAAGTGTTGGTTTGCAGGGATTTGATTGGTTTCAGGATTTCATCATGACGTGACATCTGCTAGAAGACCATTGACTAGCAGCGTACATCAAGTTGGGGATGAGGACAAATACTCATCGATGAGATTTTCTAGTGGTCAAGCCATAACCGTCAATTGGCAGAAGTTGGAATTCATGCATCATTGGATAGGGTCCCAGTGGCTTAATAGTCTACGAGCTCGCCTTGTAACACGAAGGTCATGGGTTCCAACCACAGTGAATGTGTACTGCTGCAAAGTCCCAAACTAGGGCCAGACGGCTGTCCAATACTCCCAAGTTTTCCAATGGTGCTCTAACCGATGTCAGTTCATGATGAAATCTTGAAATAATATCTGTATTTAGCAATCGAAATTTTTTTTCTGTGATATTAAAATACAATATTTAATTTCTTTGGAATACATGATCAAAATAGTTAAATACTCGAAATATTATGAAGATCCTGTGAACATACCTTCTTTTTAGCTTTTGATGCATTCAATTCATCTCGAGACGGTAATTTCGTTGAATCAACATAGTGTCTATTTAAGCGTAATTTACATTTGTTAGTACTATCAGAAAGCGGTAAATAACGGAACAGATTCGTAGATTTATCTGTATAGTTTTGATTTGTTGTTGTTGCTGCCTTCGTCATGCCGGATGATGCTGCTGGTTGAACAAGTACTGATGGTGTACTACACTGAATTTCAATTGTATTCAATACAACAAGTAATGCATCTAATGCTAATAAATGTGTACCCATTAAGCGTTCAACAGGAAAGGCATTTTTTGCCAACATCTTTGTAATATCTTCAAATAAATTTGAACAATACGGATCACAATCATAATTCACATAGAGTTCAGTAGCTAAACCTGGGACAAGAAATAGGCGAACTACTGAATCTAATGCAATTTCACGAAATTCATATCCTGTTGAGTCATTATCTGATGAACAGATTGCTGTTAGACGTTGTAGATAGACCTGAAAAGTAACCAAACAATCAAGAAAGAGAGGTTATATTGAGAATTTGACTTACATATATTAGATGTCAAAGAATTGTTTTTAACTCATTCTATCACACCTATTTCAACTGTCGACTGAAATATTTTATGAAACCATGTCATATGGGTGTCAAACAGACATAGGACGACAAACATTTCCTCAAGAAACCTCCACTTGTACTGTTCAAGAATCTATCTACTATATCAAATGGTTCCCTAGACTACAAACAATTCTATAAATACTTGGAGGCTATTACAAGAACCTGAAAATGTGTGAACAGTAATCCAGCTGTGTGGCTGACTGACTGCGGCACTTAACACACATCAGTTTACATGGCCATATCTCCAGACAAACGAAAAGAAAAGGAATAAAATGATACTAAAATAGGGCAAACAGAGACTGTGAGGACCTACAGTTAGAAGTTAATAAAGACTAGTGATTTGTACTCAGCAGACTGAAACGTTTTGAGTAGTTCATTAGTAATGCCCCAATATTGATGACAGCAAAACAAAGAGTAATGCACGTCAAACAGAAACGTGAATTGTGAAAACACAATGACTCTTCTGGTCCCTATCTTATGCAACTTATTGGAACAATCGTGAAGATTGGTAACCCAAATAGTAGATACATTTGATGTTGTTGTGTTCTCCATGAGCTTGATGATTTAAGTGTAAAGCATTCATATAAGTTGTACCTTAGAAGGACACTTTGGAGTGAGACATAACGTCTTAGTCTAAATACCTTTAATCCACTTTTAAACTGATACCGACGTGCTAGAAATTATCATGGAATTAATTAATTAATTAATTTTTCACGAAAATAACGTTAAATATGAAAATGTTTCTAACATGAAAATCAACTGCAGCATAAAAAGATGAGCAAGTCTCTTACTTCCATTTGTAGTTTTAGATGACTTCGCATAGATTCGAACAACAAGAAACACACACGCAGGGTAGCAGCGAACTGCCAAACATCCTCGGAAGATAAAAGCTACAATAAAAATGAAACGGAAAACAATACTTGAAAACATATTGAAACAGATGAACACCTATGCTTTAATTTTACAGTGAAACACTACCAGAAAGACAGAAAGATAATTCGAGGCAATCGATTAGAACTTCGGAGTACTAATAAATTAGATACAAATATCAGCTTACAATCCGCAAAAAGGTTAGGCGCTAAGATGTTACGACTAAGCAGAAGGATTCCACAATGAGTTGCCTACGTCAAGATTTAATTGTGAATGTTTGCATTTCAAAAGTTGAAGTCTGCATTTTCCTAAGAAATTCTTGTTATAAGCCGACCGTAGTAGTTTAGTTGAGTTTTGAGCTAGAGTGGATCAAAAATGTGATCATCACCAATCAGCAGATCATAGTTCCACGCCTTGTTCGACCTATTGAAGTTTTAAAAAAATGAACTCATGTATCTAAGATATGGTGTCATCACCTTGAATTTAGCAGGAATATTTTAAGGATTTCTTGATACATCAACTGGATATTGATAAATCACTGCATGTTATGTGCTATTTTTCTCTTTTTTAATCATACAACTAATGTAAATATACAGTTTTAATACGAAAATAAATTAAAACAAAAATAATTATATGCATACAACATCCCTTGGTCCGTCCCAAAGGGTCGGAAACATTCCCCCGAGAGATTCGTAAGTTACTCAGACGTAAACACAATTGTTGGAACCTGTTTGCCACACTTGAGACTTCTGAGACCAGGAAATTATATAACACCGCTAGAAATAAAGCTATTGCAGAAATACGCCAATCAAGGATGAAGTTCGTAGCACATCTGGCTCAAAATGCAAAGGCATAACCTAAGAAAATTTTTTCGTGCATGAACTTCAGAAATAAAACATCCAATGGTGTCCCAAGCCTGACTATTGACAATGATACAATCGAAGATCAAGAAAAAGTAGAACCGATGGCAGACTACTTCTCCCAAGTCTTCACTCAGGAGTCATCACTCCCTATAGGATCAGCTCTGGCTGCATCAGAGGAATACGGGATAGATTCCGTTGACATCGACCAAGGCATCGTACTCAACTGCTTAATAAAACTAGGTGCAGGGAAATCAATGGGTCCTGATAATCTTCATCCAAGGCTTCTCAAGGAGCTATCAGCTCGCATAGACGGCCCTTTGACCACTATCTTCAAGCTATCTCTCCTAAATGGAGTGTTACCGCGTGACTGGAAAGACGCCATAGTAACCCCCATCCACAAAGGAAGATCAAGACAAAGCCCTTCGAATTACAGGCCTATCAGTCTCACCAGCACTTCAACCAAGAGACTGGAAAGAATCATCAAGAAAAGCATCATGGCATATCTGAAAAACAGCAGCTTGTTACCTAGAGCACAGCACGGCTTCCGGAGGAACCTCTCATGCCTGTCGAATCTCCTCACTGCAAATGAAAGCTGGGTCAAATCAAAGGACAACAGAAGACCCGTTGACGTTGTCTTCATACACTTCAGCAAAGCCTTTGATAAAGTACCTCACAAAAGACTATTCATGAAGCTGGAAAGTCTTGGTATCAAAGGTAGATTACTAAACTGGCTTAGGGAATTCCTCATAGATAGGAGGCAGATGGTTAGGATCAACTCGAAACTCTCCTCTTGGACAGCAGTACGTAGCGGAGTGCCACAAGGCATGGTCCTCGGACCTCTCCTATTCATTTTGCACATCAACGAGTTATCTCCGCTCGACGACTCCCCTATGGTCCTATACGCAGATGACTTAAAAATTTGGAGAGAGCTGAAGGACAACAGTGATATATCCACGTTGCAAGAGGACCTCAACAAATTATCAGAGTGGTCCATAGAATGGATGCTCCCGATAAATGTGGCAAAATGTGCAACCATGCGCATTGGACAAGCAAGCACAAGCTCCTACGAACTAGAGGGAATAACACTCCCATCAGTTCACACTCAATTGGACTTAGGTGTCATAATTAGCCACGACTTAAAAACTACAGCACACTGTCGGGAGGTGGCTGCACGTAGTTTCAGGTCCTTATGAGCAATTCTCAGAGCCTTTACTAGAATCACCAGAGATATGTTCACCTCCTTATATACATCTCTGGTGAGGTCAAGATTGGAAAACTGCATTCAGTCCTTGGCTAAAAGGAGACTCACACATTCTAGAAAGGGTTCAAAGGAAGGCAACACGTATGGTTCATGGCATGGCTAACTTACCATACGAGGAAAGACTAGACAGTTTAAATCTCTTCTCCTGTCATAACGTGGACAGAGAGGAGATTTAATTACAATGTTTAAAATTTTAAATAATGACTATGGACCTGACCTATTCTCTCTTTTCCTTCCCACCAGGTCGGAACACTTTAGAGGACATAGCAGGAGAGTTCAAAAGCCAAGAAGAAATCATATTGCTGTTGAGTACTGGTTCTCACACCGAGTCATAAACTCTTGGAACCGACTCCCAGAAGAAGTGGTGTCTGCGACCTCAACTGATTCGTTCAAGAAGGGTTTGGACAACCACAGAAATCTACTAGAAAAGGATTAACATAGGCTCCAAGCCTTCTATCCTCAACCAATAAATCTGAATCTGAAACATACATCAACTTACCAACATTAGATATTTAGTTAAATCGCCTCGAACTAACTGTAATAATCGTGGACTGTTAGCTATAGCATCAGCGCCTGTTTCTAATGCAATAGTAATAAGCCCCAAAGAAATTGATATCACACTCTCATTGTTATGTACAGGAGAAAGTGAATATATAAGGTAGGATAACAAATCATATACAGCTGCAATAGTATACGGTTGTGGTTGACTTGTATCTGGGATAAGAAATAGACAAAGAAGAAAAATGGAATAGGTTAACACATAAGTACGCATTAGAGTCGTGTCTAATTAAGCAGTGAAACAACGGTGCAGATATATATACATATGTATATATGACTGTGAGTGTAGGTGTTTGAAAAACAGTTAAGTCAGCCGACAGAGCCATTGTTCTATGCCTTATAAGTCAATGACTTAATGGTTAGTTAACACCGATCGATAGGACGAAGCAGAAGCGTGACACAAGCAACGACTCCAGTCAACTCACCTTAGAGATACTTTAAAGAAGATGAAACCGTCGTCATGAAACTGATGAGACTGTTAGAAAATACAAGAGACTCATGTTGTTCGATCAGTCTGGAAAGAAATCACCATCATTACTGAAACCCTTGGAACAGGCCTACCAATGAATAGGATGTTCAGGGAGAATACTATTCTGCTACTAGTTATTATCATACTTTGAAACTAATATCAGTAAAAAGTTTGAGCATTGTGGACTAGATCAAATAAAGTATAATTATATTTTAATAGTTTACACACAATGATAAGTTTTGTTACTGGTAATTTTGCTCGAAATATTACCAATAACAAAACTTATCATTGTGTGTAAACTATTAAAATATAATTATACTTTATTTGATACTTTGAAATATATATAATTAATTAAACAGAAAGACTGAGCGAAGAAATATTTTCTTTTCAATTAGATCCTCATCTCTGGCTCTGCTCTAATATATATCCCCATAGCACTTTTATTACAATACACAACAGTTTACCAACCAGGTAGTGGCACTGATAGGTTTGTTAAAAACAATTTCTGACTTTTAAATGTGTATTGATTTGCTTCGTTGATCATCAACCCATTGACATTTTGACACTGACTAATTATTGTTAACAAACATGTCACAGTGCCACTTGATTGATAAACTGTTGTGTATTGCAATAAAAATGCTAGACATCTTAGAGCAGGGCCAAAGATGAGGATCTAATTGAAAAGAAAATATTTCTTCTCTCAATCTTTCTGTTTTCTAAATGTCTAAATGGGGATTCTTTCTATATAATTAATTAACTGATATGCAAAGAACAGGTTGGATTTGTGCAGGTTGCAAGACATAATGACCACGCGTACAATCTTTGCGAACTGCTTCAACACCATATAATAAATGTTGCAAGCTTAAATCCACTGGATATCTTGACAGCAGCACTGTTTTTAATCCGCTGGACTTAATTGCTTTTGAAATTATTTATAAGAAGTGTCTCACAAAAGTCTGTCAATATCTTGAAAAACAAAACATCACTGATTCAAACTGGTGGAGTTAGTGAATTTCAGCATTCATTCGAAAGCCAACGTCATTTCTAAGATCACTCTAAATGAAATGCGTGATGAAACTGTTAATCTACCAACTGAAACAAGTACCATTTAACTCCAAGTCTTTGGTAGCGATATCTTAACTTACCATAACACAAAAGCTAATCAAATCTCACTTAATCACTTAGCATTCATTAACCATAAAAGTATTGCAGGACTCTAGGTGTACACACACTTCAGGTTACATAATTAAAAGTGGCAACAAAGATCGGATATTCGGATATTTAAGTAAGTACTACTTGAGGTGTAATATAACGTTTTTCAATGAAATCCGGAGCAGTATACACATTCATTTTTTCCATGTTTTTTGAAAAAAGGAGACCTGACGGTTTTCTTCAAAGATCGAGCTACAGAAAGCCAACATGGAGGATGGTCAGTACACGAATTTTCACAGCTGGATCCCTTTGAGAAGAGAAAGAAACCTGAACCACTTCTTATCCTCAAGAATAAGAAGCATATGTTCCAGTGAGACAATCGACAGGGAAATGGAGCGACTCAGACAAATCCTCATAGAGAATTGATATCCTCAAAGATTTATCGAGAAAAACATGAAGTTAAAGCAAAAGTCTGAAAGAAACCAGGCGGTGCCGAAAAAACTGCTATTTATGAGCGTTCAATTTAAAGGTGATACCGCTGCTGAGATCCTGAAGAACCGCTTATCCAGATCGCTGAGAAAAGCCCTCTCTGCGGCTGAGCTACGGACCAATTTCTACAGCCGACAAATGATCAATGGATGTGTGAAGGAAAAACCACCGTTTTGAGCCACTTTAATGTGTGTTTATAAATTCACCTGCTCCTGAGGAGCTAATTATATTGGTCGCACAAAGTGCACACCTTCCAAACGCATCTCTGAACATTATCCGACATGGTTTTAGTAAAAGGACAATGCAAGATAGTTACTAGCTCAATTCTCGATCACTTGGTGAACTCAAGCCAAAAAGCTCCACCATACTAGTCTTTCAAGATTATCTAAAAGGTGAGGCCGAATGGTACAAAGGGTGTCGGGTCTCGGCATTTATGTATGATGGAGGCGTCAATACAACCCCGAACTCCGTATGTAGAAAAAGTTTGTTCAGTCTCTTATTCTACCATGGTCTTAACCTCCTCATTAGTCGTTTCCTGTATATTTTTAATGATTACTTTGATTTTACTTTAATAATTAAATCGCTATTACCACTCTCACATGTTCCTTTTGTACATTTTCTCACCCTCTTCGCACTTGTTAAGTGAACACTAAACTACCTTTCTTTTCACCTAATAACAATTTAACCTTATCAAATTTCAAATCCTTTCTTCGTTTGTGCTGTTGAGCACTATGTAATTTACGACTTTTATTTTTACTTCCAAAGCCACTTCTGAGAAATTTTTTTGATTATAGCTTGATTCTACACTGTATTATTGATACAAGTATGGAATCTAGATATGATACCACATCAAAAGTATGGAATCTTCAGCATGTGAAATCGGTAGCCCAAATTTTGCAGGCCGACCATTGATATCACGTGTGCGTCGACAGGGGATCGGACCCCGGATCATATGCATGGTCGGCGAGAGTACTAACCACTGCATCAACCCATATTACTTAATAACAGACTACTATACATTTTTGATAAATATAAATACGACTGTACAGCCTCTAAAGGTGATTTTGACGATAGAGAAAATTCTCTTCGCTGAATTTGTCTTTTACTTTCTTCAATAGTAGACAATTTAAAACACCTCAATGATGGTAGTTCTGAGTTACGACTGCTATACATTACCTCATTAAAATCACAATATACGGTGGACCGTCAGCGATCACAAATTTTTTTGTAAAACTGCTCTTTAGCGGATTCTGATATCAGGATGCGTGCATCTTACCAGGTTAAAAATAGTCTACTGCAATACAAAAGAACCTTAAAAACATAACTTTAACGGATTCGACATGAAACTCATATCAACAGCCTTTATATGAATAACCATTGGCTAGTGTCAAAGCTATCCTCATACGCAATCTTTGTGAAGTGTTGCACCACTGAACTTACAAAGACAGTAAAGACTGTAGGATAGTTTTGTCATTTCATCCCCTCAATGAAATACGACAATTCAGTACACAGAAAGCATCCGCTCACTTCGTATTCCACCAGCATTAGTAAGAGGTATTCACAGTTAGCTATACAAGCTTATGCCAATCAAAGAAAATAAGAACAGATAATTCCAACTAACAACCTGTACAACAATATGATTAGTTTGTGATTACAGATAAACATACCAACAGGTTGATATTCATCCGAATATGTATCTGATTGTGTCGATGCCACAGTCTGAAGTGAATAGAAAAGAAAGCATATTTCTGTTTTATTGCTAGATTAAGACAAATTTTAAGTTAGTTATAAACTCAGTTAACCGGAAGAGATTACTCATTCACTAGACTATAAGCCCCAATTATTGTGTGAAGGCTGACCACGCTGAAGTAAATGGGACTGGAATCTGAACCAGGGACCCCATAATGACTGAAATTCCAATATTTAAGCCAATGAACCACACATCTTGGCAAACTTCAGAAACACTAACCTCATCTGAAAATCCAAATCACTAGATAAACACGCATATTTTCAAGTGTTGGTTTTGTAGGGATTTGGTTTGATTGTATGGAGGATTTAATCATGAGCTGACATCAGTTAGAGAACCACTGGAAAACCTGGGAGTACTGGACAGCCAGCTGTTTCGTCCTAGTTTGGGACTCCTCAGCAGTACGCACCCACCGGAGTTCGAACCCAGGACCTTCTGGTTACAAGGCGAGCTCGTAGACCATTGAGCCATTGATACTCACTAGCAACTGGCCCTATTCAGGCAGTTAACCTGGGGTTCTAGTGGGAAGCCGTGACCAGTAGGGTACAGCAGGTCGAAGATGAGGCAGTAACTCATCGAAGAAGACATTGCGAAGTGGTCGCGCTATGTCGTGAATTGGCAGAAGTTAGAATTCAAGAACCATTGAATCGGGTCCCAGTGGCTCAATGGTCTACGAGCTCGCCTTGTAACCAGAAGGTCCTGGGTTCGAACCCCGGTGGGTGCGTACTGACGAGGAGTCCCAAACTAGGACGAAACAGCTGGCTGTCCAGTACTCCCAGGTTTTCCAGTGGTTCTCTAACTGATGTCAGCTCATGATTAAATCCTCCATACAATCAAACACGCATGTATGAAAGAAACATTGAATGCAAATGCATTGACCATCGGGTTTTCCAGGTATCAAAGCAAAAACTATAGATCATAACTTCTCTTGTACACATTAATGCATTCAGACGAATATGCTCAAAAAGCAATCACTAATCTTTATTCACTAGTGCTAGTGCACGCTTACCGGCACTGTTGGTATAAAAAGTAACTATGTGCATCATGATTGCAGTAGTAAACCTTGCACATCTAAAGTCAATTGAATTTCAACATAAAATGTTGCACAGAAGTGTATTAGTTTAAGCTGCCACACTCCATGTAGTCCATAACATTTACTGACTTCAGCGACTCAGGGACTGACTTACTACCAGGGAATATTCTCGTTGACTTAGAATATGCAGGCGATATAGTCCTTCTAGGCGAGGACGCTGACAAAATACAGCGGAGTCTTCTGAACACCTTGAGTTACAATCTACGAATGTTTGGCATGAGATTCGCTCCTGCCAAATGTAAGATGATGTTACAGGACTGGATTACGCTGACTCCTAGCTTAGAAATGGGGAGTGAAGCGATAGAGCACGTTGACCACTTTCACTTATTTGGGAAGTTGCACCAGCTCCAACAGGTTGATCGCCGACAAAATCTCAGCACGGATACAGAGAGCTAGTTTCGCATATGCCAGTTTACGCTGTCTCTGGCACAGACGTGATATCCGGCTGACTGTCGACCAAGTTCGCTCCGTCCTCCTCTATGACTGTGAGACTTGGCCAATGAGACTGGAAGACATGAAAAGGCTAGCTGACTTTTTTTATAGGTGTCTGAGTTCTATCTCCCAAGTTAAATGATATAATAGGGTGAGTTTCAGACACGTCGGGAGGTGTAGACTTCCTCACTAAATGGTGTCCTGGGGATGGTAAAAACCAATGCAGGCTGGAGACAATTGGTGATTTGACTCAAATCGTTCTCAATGGCTGGCGCACACGCATTCGCTTTTTGTGACCCATCATATTCAACAAAACTCCAATGTTCTTCCATATTACTATTCTTTAGCCTGACAATTCTATTTATCATCTGTCTTTTGAATGTCGCTCTACTCTCTTCTCTTGCTCTGCGTGCTACATGGAGGGAGTGCGGCAACTCGAAGTGGTGCACACCTGTGCAAAGTTCTACGTTGAAACCAGTTAGTCATGTAGCACACAAAGGTAGACTGAAGGGACAAAATAAAGAGATTCAAAAGAAATAAAAAGAGCAAAAATGCACGGGAGATAGAATAGCAAATACACATGACGGTTTAGTGAATATGGACGATCACGATGAATGAATGCATCTCCGCCATTGATTATAACGACTTTGAGCCATATCACCAATATTCTTACAATCGCAAGGACGCCAGAACATCGGAAAATGTTACATCAAGCTTCTTAATGCCGCCTTTATTGTTTCTTGTGATCTACCAAGTGTCACGAGAAAGGGTTTTTAGTGACAGAACTATGAAGATCTATACGCAAACAACTTATGTACGCATTCAGAAAAAAAGATGTACATTCACTTTGTATGCGATAAAGAACTTTTCTATTCCTTTACGTTCCCAGTGGAACATGGGGCTTCAATCTAGAGGCTTGAAGTTTTGGTAGCAGTGATGTTTGTTTTTACTTGGAAGGGGTTGCTAGCCCTATGCCCAAACTTCATTCTTTACCAGCCTTACTACCGGCTTAGCGAGATAAAGGAATGCGTCGGCCGGGGATCAAACTCCGGACCGCATGCGTGGTTGGTGAGCATTTTATCGCTGTGCCAACGACGCCTATGATAAAGAATAATAATTATTATCACTACTCATTTCTTCTGTTTCCAGTGAAAGCTTCATTCTACCTAGCTCCTTGCTATCACTATCAAATGGCTCTACACCTGCCAACAAGCTTTCATTCCCTCTGTACATCATTTTCTCCATGTCACCTTCGTATGCTCAACCCACAGATCCCCAAGCAGGGGCATGGCATGCGATGTTATTTAGAGGTCTTTTCAGAGAATATCTAATCGAATGCACTTTCTACATTATATGATTGGGTAATTGGTTTTCAGCTGGTTCACCAGTAAAGCGTAATACGGTCAACTTAACTCCGTAATGAAAATGTGTACCATAAAGTTACACCGCCAGTTTCTTACAGTAGATTGTCAAGCGTGTTTATCTCTTTTTAAATGATAAACTTATAATTCATAGGTTATTAATTTTAAGACAATTAATATTAGTTATCAAATCATCACATTTTGGTCAAGTATGCCCTAGCTCATGGGTCAATATCTTCAAATTTTACTTTGAGCCAAGCGGACGTCCCCTTCTTCATCTCTAAATCCAAGAAAAAAACTAGTAGTCATAGGAAATGACATGTATATATTCCCTCATACTAATACACGGCGACAATTATGGACACCAATTCAACTGGGAAAATATAAGAGTCTTAGATAGTGGAAACACAAAAATACCCAAGAATACCTAGAAACCCCATACTGAGATTAACTTGCGATTAGCAGATATAAGTGGATATAGACCGAATTTACCGATCAAAATCAATGCAGATGAATGAAAGTCAGAAACACAACCAAGTGGTCATCAGGGAAGACAGATTATTCCATTCACGAAAAATTCGAAGACTCAGCCCATTTGAAGCTAGTGCTCAAGATAGCTAGAACTTTTAGCCAACAGAATTCGGATTCTGTCTACTTTAGTCTGAGCGAATGGATAATGTAATTAAATACACCACATGCACACAATAAGAGTAGCTTATAATCCGGCACCGCTTAAACTGGATATTGTATTTCTCATTATAGTGGATTGCGGACACAATACAATACAGTATAGGCACCAAGAAGATGCGCCACAAAATAATAATAAAACAACAATATATAAAGAAAATAGGTAGAGAACGAATAAAGTATTTCATCCAGAAAGGAAACAACTACATTTAACAGGATAAAACAATAATCGTTACATAACTGTCACAGAGGGAAGGAAGAATGAAATTTCAATATGTTCGCCATTGATTGCGATTCTTCGTCATATCCGATAAGGTTTCCAGCCACAGACTCGAGCTATCTCTTGGACCCTAATCATGGAGTCGTGATTTACCAACCAATGCTAACCTAAAAAAAGTATTCTTCATCCTACGATGACCACCTACCCACTTTCTCCATCCCATCCCAGGGTTAGCGAATAGCCACCGGTACAGGAGTCCATGGGATAACATTCACATCACATGCCCAAGCCATCAAAGCCGATGTTTCCAGATGACGATACTCAATGAATGGTGATCTTCACTGTGAGCAAACACACGTCGCCAGACCTAAGAATTACTCACACGATGATGCCATCGAACACAAGCAATTTTACGGAGACAGCGATGATCGAATACCCAGAGCCGCTGCATGTCCTCAACTCGTAGAGGCTAGATTTCACGGGTGTAGAGAGAGACTGCGCGTCCTGAAGCATGCTAAACCCGACCTTTGACAGCCAGGCTAGCGTCTGGACGGCGCCAAAGGCAGCTTAAGTTGACGTATGCCACCCAATCTTTCATGATACCGTTAGAATCTTGTCCGTCATCCCTCACCAGCAACTACACAACTACCCAGATACACGGACTTATCGAAAAATTCAAGAGATTCACTTGCAAGGGAGAGTTCAGGTACAGGTTCCTGCCAATCTTGTAAGAGCACTTTGCACTTAGACGGTGCAAAGCACATATCATACTTACAGACAATGACAGCCAACTGACTGATTGCTATTGGAGCAGCCTGCATGCTGCCACACAGTTACTGGTGTCAAATCAAAATAAGACGATATCGTCTGAATACTCGAAGTCGAAAAGTTTTTCTCCAGAAACCAGACCTCCACCACCTCCACCGCCCACATCCTGCAAAGCTGACTCTAGAATGTCATCAGTCGCAAAGTTAAAGAGGAATGAGCAGAGATTGCACAACCCTATCTACCCCCACTATTGGTTGGGAACAGTAGTGATCACTGGTTGTATGTCTTCACTTTACCAGAAGTATTTCCGTATAGGGCTTTCGGGATGTTAACAAACTTAATAAACACCCCTACCTAACAGGCAGTTCCAGAGAACAGTTCTGCTTAACGAATCGACGTCAGCCCTAATATCAAGAAACACAACGATTGTTGACCTGCAATACGTGTGACAGTGCTCCAACAAATGAAGGAGGGTGAACACACGGTCGATACATCCACAACCTGAACGAAACGCAGCCTGATCTTCGCGAATCAATTCCTCACGTGTTTTGCACAGCCTGAGAAACAAGAGAGTAGTCAGTATTTTAGACGTAACTCATAGCAAACTAATACCCCTATGGTTGCCGCACGCGTTAAGCCGGTTCATCTGAAAAGTGGGGACGATAATGTCTTCATTCAACTATGATGGAACATCCTCACTCTCCCTTACCTTCCTGAACAGTTCAGTCAAAGCCATGGCAAGAATCTCACCACCGTCTTTGAAAAGGGACGGAGGTAGATTGTCTGGGTTGGGTGCCTTCTGGCACTTATACACTTGGAGTTTCTTTAGGACCTTTGCTTAGATTGGTGAGTACTGACCAACCAAGGAGTACTGTAGCTGATAACGCCGGATTTTGGCCCTTATGGCGAGCTAAACTGCATCTCGGAGTGTTCTGTCCAACGTCTTTTCTGGTTGGCGATTTGGACACCATCTTCCTCACAGACTGTCGTCTCACTGATACTATGCTTCTTGTTACCAGTGGCTCAGATGAGCTGGAACGGCGTCCAGTTGTCGCCAGATGCGGCTGCTGATTCCATCTCACATGCATGCTCTAATCACTAGGCTTCACGGTCCTTGTGTAAACATTGTTTGATCTTGCGCTCAAGCGCTTTCTGAATGTCTGCTGGAGTGGGCCAGAGCCTATACACGAGTTGCAAAAAACTCGCAGAAAACCAGTGCTTTTTAGCGGAGCATTCTTTTGAACCACAAGCGGCTCCACTCGTCATTTGCATGGCGCCTGGCAGACGTAGCCAATGTTCATCTGTACAACTTGGATGTTCACTATCTAGCCTTGGTTTAAGTCAGTCTAGTACCTCAAAGAGGTAGCAGGTGCTAACAGTTTACTCCCATCGTGTAGAGGAAAACGTTTATGAACCCCACCAAATCGCAAGACAAATCTGGCACACACTAAATCATGATCATAGTCTCGGTATGTGCTCCAGAAAGGGTGGTGATCAGGCATGCATCCTGGTCATCGGAAACTGACAGTAATATGATCAGTGTGAGTCCAGGCTTAATTGGCAAGGAGGGCATGCTAGGTAGAACCACGGTAATTGCCGTTCCGGAAGTTGGTTCCAGCTAAAAACTGGTTGTGATCAGCGCAAAGCTGCAGAAAACTCAAGTACTCAGCCAGCAATACGATATTCCTATTTCAGAGGATCGCTCAGTTGGTAGTTAATCTCATCCCTAATTGCATTTGGGAAGGAAGAGACAACAAACAGACACAGTCTATCTAGCCCACAGCTTCTTACTCCCGTATACCTTCCAGACTCACTGCACATAAACGAATGTTAATGGAGACCCAGTCGAGTAATGCAGAGCTTAATGGGACACCGACATCGGATGCCGACGCTACAGCGTCCCCAGATAGGTGCAGGTGGTACACAATATTAGAACCTCCAGATGGGGAAGATATTCGAAACGCTTCACTGGGATCTTGAATAAGGGTCTCCTAAATGCAGCAGACATTGACAGTGAGGCTTTCTAATGTTCTTGAGAGACCTATTTGTTTACCCATTTGCATCAGTGTCCGAACACTGTAGATGGTTAGCCTGGACGCGACAAGAGGTCTCAGAATATTCGTGTTAGATATTGCAATGGGAGTCAGGATTTTGAAGGCTACTCACTAACATTTCAAAACGGCACAGATAGGCTGAAAATTCAAAGGCGAGAGGCCAACGAAGGTGAAGAAACCAAGGATAGCAAAACTAAAACACAAAATTTTGTGTATAAAAATAGGGCCAAAAAGAAATCCATTGCTAGAAATATTATTACTGTTCGTGAGCGTAAAGAAGAGTGTACAATTAGATTTCCTCATGATTTCTTGTTTTATTGTTAATGCAAGGGCTGGGATACTGCCCGGGCGCTCAGACCTAAGCAGGCAGTTGTCCTGGTGGACCACCCCCTGAGCCTTTAACCTAAAGTCTCACTCATAAGGCAGATAAGCAGAGTCAGGAGCTACGTTCCTTTAGTTTCCGGTGAAAAATACAAGTCCACAAGCCACTCGGTCCGTTTGGTTTCTGGAACCCATGTACACCGTAATAACTGCTTCTAGTCTAACAGCTTTCCAAACAGCTTTCCTGGTATGGTAAGACCTGCAGAAACATAGGTCCCAGACAGTTTAACATGTTGGATCACTGCAGTATGCAAGCCCAAATGCCATGTTAAGGTGTCAGTTATCACCACTACCAAGTATGAACACAACAAAACTCAATTCATCTTGTTTATACCGTATACTTACTAGTTTATTATTATCACTTTCATCATTCGGGCTAACAGCAGACAGTGACTGTGCACACTGAGTAGCAATCGGATCAGATGATTCATGAACACCGAAGTCAAATGTTGAGGCAGCTTTATCGTGGTCGACAAATTCTATTTGATTTGAATCGGCTGAGTGGTTGGAACAACTTTTTGGATCGCCTAAATTATGAGAAAAATCTAATTTATGAAAAGAGGTAAAGATCAATCAGTTATTCAGAGATTTGTACAAGTGAGCTAAGGTAAGTGATGTTAGATATCCTCCAAACCAAACCCATAACATATGTGCAATAGATAATAATTAGTTAGAGACATAAGAACCATATGGGTGTCTAGTTATGATTCACAACTTTTATGTGTAAAGTGGTGGCTCTATCTGAAGCTGTCGAAATTTTCGGCATATTGACCAAGCTTCCAAACTCCAGTCGACTATCTACATTAATGACTCAAAACTAGAAACTAAGGTATATTTAACGGTACTGCTGATAAAAGCCATTGAGAACTATTTTGAACCACACCACTAATAGTTTCAAGAGACTGGTTCACTACATAGCTGAAAACTATCATAAATCGGTCAACTTTACAGGAAACATATTCACGTTATACTGATTTTCAGTGTGGTGTGGGTCGATAAATGCAAAAATTATTTTGTTTACTATTATCCCCTTAGATTCCTAGTACAACACGGTGTTTCGACGACGCATCTCCATTTCACTCTGTGTGCTCTACAGTTTACCTTAGCTAGCTCCATGTTTCACCATAAGGTTTGATTTTCTCATCACATGATCGTATCCATGTCACTCTCCGACGCCCAACTCTCCGTTTCCTATTCGGATTCCTCTCCACGGCCTACAGTGCAATGTCATTCAAAGGTTTCCCCAAAGTACACCTAATCCATCTCCATCTACTCTGGCTTTAAAACTACAGCGTGCCGTAAACTTTTATCAACTTAATGCAACACCTAAATGAAGATGCTTACACGTCAAATGATTCGCGACGGAGAATGCAAAAATACTTTAAGACAAATCAATGCACCAGTCGAAAGTGTCATATGGTAAAAATCTTTTGACTAACCAATCTGCAAAAACTGAAGCGACCAATGAAGGAAAATCACTTCGCTGGAGTATTGATGCCAATCAACTATTCTTCAGGAGTATTTAACCAGAGATACTTCTATGCTATCTACATTTTGTCAATCGAATGTACTTTTTCTTTTAACTTCATTCCACAATCTAATCCTACCTTAGTCTTAAAAAACTTCACAGATTTGTTCTATCATTCATTTCATTCAGCTAGACTTGGATAGATAATTTAACTTCTCAATATGAATGCACAAAAAGAATTTAGAAAAAAATGCGAAATAAGACATTAAGAACAAACAACTCACTACAAGCAGTTTGGGAATTGCCTACATAGTCATCATTAGGACAGACTGACATTTCACAGGGAATTTCTTCAATTACTGCTTCACTTTTTACAACGAGAGTAGCTTCATTACTATCATCACGACACTCTAAAGGAGTTTGATTAGCTTCACCAGACACAGCAATTTGTGAAGATTGTTTATCCATTACTGCTGTTTCAATATCAGAACACGAATTGACCTGTTTTTGAAAAGACCCAAAGTAAACCATACAATAAATAACAAAGCAGCCCGGTTATTGAGAGCAAGTTTGTGGTTTAGAAGGTAAGCAAGATCTAGTATGGGAAACTTAACTAACAAAAAAGAACGGCAGACAAAGTTGCACTAAAACCAGTGGATCAACTGACTGAAAATCAACTGTACAGTGCCAATTTAGCTAATGATTTAATTTGAAAGTAGTTTATACACAAATTATTATCACTACTATTTTCATGCACCATCTACAAGTTGGATTTGGTACTGAATTTCCAAAAAGTGAAACATGTGTTTCGACTCCGCTACACTAATAAAGATATAGGAATGCAGATAACATCATCTCTCGTGTGACATACATGATTTATAGTTAAGTACACTAACCTTCACGTCGTTATTCGGTAGCATGCCGTACAATGAACACTATCACTAATAATATAATATATAACGCCAGATGGACTGGTGATTTTCAGTAATTAACTGGGAAAATCAACAATGGATCCGTCAAATAACTACTGAACAACAAAAGTAATACCTGAACTACAGAGAATCTCACAAAGACAGTAATAAGTTTAGTTCATACAGTGTTTATTTTCTCTCACTACACACACACACACAAAATGAAAGCTTACTGATTGTTGTATATTTCGGTCTATTCTGAATCCAGTCAAAGTTGGTAACCGACTGAAAAATAATTGAATCATCGATGCTAAACACAATTCAGCAGTTCTTCTAAGTAATTCACTCAATTTCGGCTCAAAGCAGATGCGAAAACAACTCTGTAGAATTTCTCGAACAGCTCGATCTGAAACAAGCGTGCCAGCGGGTACAAGCAACAGTGTTCGTAGTAAATGCAAAACTTTCATTAATACAACCTATAGATGAGTTAACACAGAGGAAAAAAGATTAATTTATGTTAAGCAAAACAGCAATAAACGTTTGTCGTTATCTTTATTTACAATTAAACAGTACGCCTGGGGAATGAAACGTGAAAGTTTTTCTCTTCCACTTACTTATGATGATATCCGGCTTATCTATGAAAGGGAGTGCATTTTGAGCAGCAATTCGCCCTGTAATGTTAGGTGGCATAAGATTAAGTTAGAAAAACGTTAAGGATCGTCAAAGCAAAACCGGTAACCAATACATGAAATCTTTGGTAGCTAGCTTCAGCCAGCTACATAGTAAGGCGCAGACAACCTAATCGGGGTTCTTGGGATGCCAGAATCCAATGTTTGAAACTGCTGGTGATATGTCTCAAAACCATTCTGATTGCTGCCGATGGATTGACGCTTTTAAGCAGTCATATCCATTAAACTTTCATGTTCTTTCATGTTACTTTACATTCCCTCACTATAGATCTTCCGAATCCTTTTTTTCTCTATCTTTTTGTGCTACATGGGATGTAGCATCTTGAACTGCTGAACTTCTGTGCAAAGTACTATGTGTGTGTCGGCGGCACAGTGGTTAGGACTCTCGCCGACCATGCCCATGGTCCAAGGTTCGATCTCCTACCGACGCACACCTGATATCTATGGTCGGCCTGCGAAATTTGGGCTACCGATATAACATGCTGAAAATTCCAGACTTGTATTAAAAATACGGTGTGGAATCAAGCTGTAATCAAAATACAAAAAAAATGTATTTGTGAAAATAATGTTAAAGGTAGCAAATAATGTTTATACGTAGGAACTACTAATAAAACCTCATAATAAATTACTGACTTTAAGCAACACTTTTCTTTAGCAATCCAGTATTTCCTTCTGATCTCAATGTAAGTTTATATTTTTACACCCTAAGGTTTTACCTGATATTGCATAGTTCGCTTTTCTAAACCACGACTAATCAACTTTGCTTCTTCATTCCTCGCTAGATACTGAATAACAGCATTCAGATGAAGCAGTTTCATCACACTGGACCACGAGATTAACTAGTCATCCAGAGGTTCAACTGGTCACACTTTGCAGAACAATTTGCTCACGCATACAATCTAATGTTGACTGATCATGTTACCTCTAAATGAATCTACCAATTTTTATCTATGTGCCAAAGTAAATAAATCGGACGAACAGAAAAATGGCTGTTGACCGAAAGGTGGGAAAATCTTCAACAATACGACCTCTTGACAGATGAAACTGCTGTCATAAGAATTGACATTTTAAAATTATTTAAAATAAGTAAAGTTCACATCATTTCCATGTATCGGAGAAACCATTAACCCCGAACTTGTGCATGTACAAGAAAACTGTGTGAATCTTGCTCTACCATGTTGGATACATTCCGTCATTTTAATTTCCTTATTTCTTTTATTTCAATTAAGGGTAATCATACCCTTGATTTTACCTTTCTCCATACTTTTGATCTGATTATTTTTCTGACTCCTGCTGAAGCAAATAACTTAACCATTACGAAACATGAGTTGTCAATTTTGCACCTCTAATCAATTTTCAACTTCCGTTTCTAACTCTATAATATTTTAATTTTTTTCAGATATACTACGAGGCCTGATAACATATTTTATCGTTTCCACTATGCAATATTAATGGCTTTCATCTTCATGCTTACTAACTAGACTATGAATGTTTCGTAGATATATTTAAAGACTGTTTTGTATTGTTTTTAATTGATAGGAAATAACTAAACAAAATAATGTCGTACTATCCTGCTTAATCTGCTGTTGTTGCTTTATTCAACTTCATCGAATTATTTAACTTATTGGTAGATAATGTAAAGTTCTGCACTGTTCACAAAAATACAACTAGTATTCAAAAGCAGTAATTTCGCTTCATCAATTTTTTCCTTCGCTTGATAATTAATACCTGCACTTTCTAGAACAAAACTTTCAGAACTTCACAACAGATTACCGGGAACGTTTTTCATAGTCTACTGATTTACTTTCCATGACTGAAACTGCATGTGTCTTTATTAACTAAAGAAAAGGTAAACGATGACACAGACAAATATCACGAAACAGCTTTCTTATCTTCTCCAACTGTCTAGTAAGCCTAATTAAAATGGAATAAATTTGTGGCTTAATTGGATGATATTGGTACAGTTATGTTTTCTGTGAGTTGGGTGGTATATTGACTCAGAAGATATAACTAAACCCAGCCTAATTATGTTTAAATTATTCAATTAACAGAGTAGAATGCCATTTCAAATTACAAGAATACGGGTACTACACAGCACTAACAAGTAAGCTTCAGCATGACAACTCAATGAAAGCTGAACACCGAATTCACTCTTGTGATCTTAGACAAATTTAAAACTTAACAGATGAAAACAACAAATCAAAGAGATTGTGACAGGATTTATTTCGTCATAAGAATCAAACTTTATATGTGCCCTGCGACTAGTTGGCAATGTGATTTTGACCGACTGAAAATACGACAATGTCTCAGGCATCCAGTAGGTGAATTTAAAAAGCCTTTGACTCACCAATCTACAGTACATTATTATAAATGTAAAACTATAACCTTCAAATGATCCTCATATTTACACAAGAAAAATAACTAGCAGTTTTGAAATTTATATTTCCGTATCATTATCACGGAAACTGAGAAACGCTCCTCAAACTATTTCAAAACCTTAAACATAATACAGAATAAATAAGACAAAATTAGGAATTTAATGAAAGCTTTACAGCAGGCCTACAAAACTAACCTCTGCCGAACGTGGATCTGTTCCTACAAAACGAGCTTGAGTACTAGCATCAGCAATTGCTTCCACTGCCATGGCGATAGAACTTAACGATCCAGGCCCAGACAAAGGTAATTCGTCTGGTTTTCCCGGAGGTAATTCCAAAAGTCCATACGACAAAAACTTGTCCACAGCAGTTAATGCTAAACCCGTAACTGGGCCAGTTGTATCCTCTGAACGAATAACCTCAAGAAATGGGGTAAGATACACCAATGGTTCTAGTTCATTTACGCCTATAAAAATTAAACAAGAAGGTGATAACAACAAAATACACAGAGCTGATGCGAAACCTAATAAACACTGACAGACTACAGAAAATATACGGCTGCTGCAATAATCATAATACTCACCAGAAGAAGAACCACAAAAACCTCGAGTCATTTATATTTTTCAGACGACTCCTACATGATCAGCATGCGGTAAACCAACCACCCTTTTACCAGACAAGTGAATAATAGGTTATATGCGGACTACAAAATGCTCAAATAGACGAAGTTGAATGACGCATTCTGGAAGAGAAATATGGTAATTTCCAGAATAAACGGTTATGGAAACCAGCTGATTACCATTGTATGATCTGTTCTTATTTTCGTAAATCACACCAGTTTTCGGTTGAACCTATAGATTCACGCAGACTAATCTATACCTTGGTATTTCTAGTCAATAATACCCTACCCCAATTCTTGAGCACACATTAGGTTATGCTTATCGTCTCCCTCCTTTGCTTCGTCTTGGGCTTAAACCATCGACAGACCTTTTCCCTAATCACACTAGCGCTGGATGTTCGGCAAGTGTAGCGCAGCTGCATATCCGCAGACTGATTGAAGTGTTTCGTCTAAAATTTCCAGTGATCTTTCTTGAATGATTACGGTTTTATCTTTCTCGACGACTATTTCATTTACCGCAACTTTTATAGGAACATCTTTTTTAATTTACGCCTAATCTAAACAGTGCTAACGTCATTCCCATCTCGGCTTTCTCCATCAACTACTACTGGTGACCACTGCAAAAATTCTAGTCATTCCGTCTCTAAGAGGAACATGAGGAGCAGTGTCATCGAAACCAGTAGTTTAGAACAGACTACAGAGATTGACTAGCCAACGCTGATCATTGACTGCAAGGGAGCAAATCTCTTCGCAGCTGCATGTCAAAATCGATGGATATGGTATCGAGGTATTCCCATGATGAAAACCACAAAAATGTTCATCAAATAATAGACATAAATTTTCCACCAACATATAGATTCACATCTGCTTACTTTCTAAGTTCAACTTGTTTCAGGTGCACAGGAACGTGAATGAACGGTTTTAGCCCACATTATTTAGAAATGGCAACCTTTTATTAGTCGCCAACGTGGACACTTAATGAGCCTTAACTTACTCCGTTATCCTCTTTAAAACCACTTACTAGTATGACCTCTTTTTAACACATTTTGCCTTTAAAGGAAAACTGAACAGGTCTTGACAGAACTTATACTTTATCTCGTTTGAACTTCAGAAAAAGAGCGAAACGAACGATTCGGCGTTGCCCTTACGCTCCATCCTAAACGCAGCAACTTACTCTAACCCAGTCCTTAACCCCAACTCCTTACACTAATCTAACCCTCAAACCTACTCTTAACTCTACCACTAACTCATAAAACTAATCTCACCACTAACTCTAACCCTATACATTAAGAGATAATAAGTCCAATCAGCAGAAACGTCTTGAAGCGAAAAGCTTACACTACGTTCACCACTAGTGACGTGAATGTTTTCTAGAAATCATTTGGTATTGGCTACGGTTAATATCCATCAAGGAGAAACATTTGCGCAGCTAAGCATCTGTGCAGACTACGTATAATTGACGGAATAAGTTAGGAATCATAGATAAAACTGCACGAACGCATGTGTGACAAATGGCTCCACATTGGCTTCGATCACTTTACTTCCATATACGTAACACATACCCAGTCAGACAAAAAAGGTAAAAACGGACAAACAATGGGAAAATAAAAGCCACGACTAACAGTAAGAAAGTGGGAGAATTCTAGTTATATAGCAAGATTCCGACTATTTTAACCAAAATTTCAACACTATTATCACTATTAAACCTAGATTTGCTTAATGTTTCACAACTTTCACCATATCCCCACTATTTAACCATTCTCCAATTTAGTCCGATTGGGTATAACGACGAATAAAAAATATCGGTAATTAACTTTGCAAGAAGCCAAACTTACTTGTCGCTACATTTAAAATAGATCTCAGCTGACCAAAACTTAGTAGTAGTGGCTTTTTGCTGTCATCCTGAGAAAAGAATCCTCAAGGTTAGAATCATTACAACTCACCTGATACACCCTGAAGGAATTCCTATGACTGCATCGAAGTGCAGTAAGCATAAGGGACACCTCAGACTGTATCATACACAAGGTGTTTGAAGGTGCCATTCCTAACTACTCTGAACATGCGAATTTACGGTCACTGTTAGCCACGTAAAACCCAGCTACAGAATTTACGAAGCGTCCGCCTATCTTGACCTACAAAAGGTAGCCGTCTAATGTTCCATCAATTCAGAGTATTGTATGGCTGGACTTATTCGTCACGTACTCTAGAAGTTACGTTTGGAATTTTTTTTGCCAATAATTTTTAATAAAATTGTATTATATGTTATCTAGATTGAGGGAAATTCCCACTTTTTGGCTGGTTATGTTGGTGTCCGCCTCATGTGATCTGACTGCGACACACTTTTAGCATATTTTATTTTTATTTTTTTTTTTATTTTTTTTTTTTGATTACAGCTTGATTCCACACTGTATTTTTGGTACAAGTATGGAATTTTCAGCATGGATATCGGTAGCCCAAATTTTGCAGGCCAACCAAAGATATCAGGTGTGCGTCGGCGAGGGCTCGAACCCCGGACCATGTGCATGGTCGGCGAGAGTCCTAACCACTGTGCCACCGACGCACAATGATTAGTGTTTCAGATGGAATGTATCAAAATGTCGGTGTAATGAGGGAGATAGGATAGTTAGAGGGTAATGCCATTTACACCACTCATTTACTCCATGTAGAAGCTGCATCTTTCGGCATAGTATCATTCAATGAAGACTTCATGTCTCAGGATATCAGTACAGCCTATTTTCGTGTGAAGAACAGTCTTTTTTGACAAAATAATTCTCTCAATACTTGGAAATCACCTGCAAATGTTATCAGAATCGTTGGTGGGAACCTAAGTTGTCATTTAGATGTGCTTTTCACTTTATCTGTGGTTGGACAGGAATTATGGTAAGTTGAAAGGTTATCTCTAAATGGATTTCATATATATTGGCACTGGTTGGTGCAGTGTGCTATGGGTTATGTTAATTAAATGTACAAAAATATCTCAACTATAATAATAGTGTGCCATTGTGTACTAAGCTGACTGATAGGATAACAAACGAAGGTGGTTACTAGAACTGAATCTATTCAGCTTTATTATCATTAATATGAATTTATTCTCTTTTACAATTTCCACTGACTGTATACTTAATGCTACAATATTTTTGATCACCAATAGTGGAGATGAATTTCTCCTGAGATTTCCATTTAGACAAAGCAGTACAGATGCTCTATGACGATTGAATTTTCTAGTTTGCATTATATGACATTATTATCCTCATCAACACAACAGGTCTGTGTACTTTACAATAGTTGAAGTGTTTCACTATGTTGTTAGCACTGTGCATAGCTGTCTAGAGTTGAGGCATGTTCAGCTTATATTTGATGCCTATAGTCTCCTAAATGTGAAAATGTGATTTCTGTAGGATTCACAAAACCTTGTGGACTAGACATTACTGAGATTGTGGATTAACTTCTAAGTTATACACTTGCAATACTTCATTTCATGTAAAAGTGTTTAGTGTGAAGTTGATCTGCAAGTAAGCTTGATGAGAGAATGACGCCTCAATAGTATGAATGTTTCGGAGATTGCCTTGAAATTTGCATATAGTCCTCAAATGCAGGAAAACATATGATGTATATTTATGTATACGGCGTCAACATAAATATCAGCTGTAGACTACAAATACATTTATCTCCCTGAGATAATACTTAGTTTTAACAGAATGATTGTATTCATATTGTATGCTAATATGTAGAATTATCTCTTGTTAACTTCATGTTATGCTAGTTCTAACATGTACTTTATTTTTTCCAGGTATACGGAGGTTGTCGAATATGAAATCAGCGGAAACATCATTCGGTCAAACTAACTTTATTACCCTTCATCAGAATTTTCTTTTGTAAATTAATCAAATGTTTAATATACTCTTGATTACTTCTTCCTGTAGACTTCTTCAATTCCTCGCTATACAATGTGCTTTTGTAATAAGTGAATTAGGAATAATAAACGCTAAGCTTAGTTAGTGGGATGGAAATTCACTGTAGTATTATGAGAATGTTACTTTAGTCATTAGTAGGATTTCGTGTCTGTTTCTACACAATAGCACATTGTAAAAGCTAAGTGGGATTTAGCAAGTTGAATAATAATTCTGTACTGTTGGATACTCTAAAGTCGCCTTATCTAACCAGTTGAAAGTCTGTTTACTGTTAAACGCCAAGTATGTAGTACAAGTAAATGTAGTAACTTAGGCTTGATATCTACTTCACTAATCCGTTAATATGCAGTGACATCATCAAATAGACTGTTCACTTGACGATCAGCTAAGAAACAATTTTTATTTATTTTAATATGCCGTTGAATCATAGGATGTTATCTAGTATCCATCATTTCTGTGATCAAAAACTGCGGTATTTGCATGTCTACTTTATAGATGTTAAATAACCTACGCCTGTATGCATGTAATTACCTCCAGTATTTCCTATTCATTTGGTGTGTGTAAACTAAACAAGTCTTTCATAAATTCTCCCATAAATGCCAAACTTTCTAGTGTTACAAGCGTTAATAAGACCTGCTTCCTTTGTTTCAAATCAAATGAGGTATATACGAACTAAGGGAAAGTTACTCTTACTTAATCTTTAACCCTCACTCAGAGCCTTTAACGATCCCAAACAGTTCTCCTATAAACACAGTAGACGTACTTTAGATGCAGCTGCAGTCTTGCTTCACAACATTTTCTCCAGTATAGACAATGGGGCTAAATTCGCTGCACCTTCCTAGAATACACATCTGCTTTCGACTCAGTACCTAGAGATATTCTGTTAGATAAGCTTGCTGAAACTCAAACTGAGTATTGGATTGTTAGATGGCTTCATTCTTATTTATCAGGGAGAAAGCAGTACACTGTAGGTCAGGGGGAAGTCGTCCATTACCAATTGTATTTTTGTTTGATGAACTTATTGTACGAATGCATACGAAAAGAACTTTTTCAAACACGCGGACGATCTAACTACTTCAATGTCTGTTAACTGCCAGCTACACTGTACTAAGATGAACAGCTCTCTATTAGGAGTGGGAAAATGCTCTTAAACTAAATCCTTCGAAATGTCAGACTGTTATTTTCAGTTTCCGATGTAAACGAAAGTTAGTTGAAGGTGTTAATTCCTATGACCGTTGCAAAATTGATAATAGTGATATGGAAATGAAGTCTGACTTTAAGTATCTCGGACTGATTCATCGCAGCGTGTTGGCCCTAAATGTATGCCACATGCAGGCATAATGTTTATGAGCTAGGTATGCAAATCAAGGTAACGCTTGTACGGTACATTCATTATTTATAAAACTAACTCGCACGTAAGAACTATGGTTTGATCAGTTATACAACGTTTAATACATTTAGACACAATTAACCTACGATGCTCACTTCTATGACGCATTACCTAAAACTACATTAATATAGTTTCCGCTGAAGGTTATCTCCTATAGTTACCACCTTAGTGGGCAACTTAGCGTTATCTTTGAATAACGAAAATTCCGAGAACTTTCTTGGTAAAAAGATCGTCCCTTACTCGAAAAAATTAAATATACCCTAGTCTCCCAAAAACGTTCAGAGGTATTCATCCTATCACCGCAAACGACTCACTATTTGCAGTCATTTAAAAAGTAAAAATAAATTTACCGATGGCAGCGTGCTTATGATTTCTAGATATAATGTACCATGAGGAAAACGCTATACCCATGCGGTTATAACAGTCAGATGCGCGAAATTAGTCAGAAACACAACAACCACGATTCTCAGTCACATAACATCTTACTTCGCTACCTAATCGTATAAACGGATGTTTCGCCAAGAAAAGAAGACTACTGGTTCAAAGAAAATTTATTTAGTTTTTTTTAAGATCGTGAACATCTGTGTTTATAGTCACGGAAAAATCACAACTTCGAGGAAATCACCGATCGTAGACTACAACCCGAAACGTTATTCTTCCTAATTAATGTCTTACCTTTAACTGGGATTGTTCGCACACTCACCAGATCTCGTATTTTATCCGCTTTGAAAACCGTTTTGCAACCCATCGAATGGATGTTAACACTGGCTCTATTACGGGTAGTCCTAGTTCATGTATTTGGATCTAGTACATCAAGCAATAATAAGCATAAGTAACACTTACCCTTAAGGATTCCAGGTTCTTTTAGTTCCCCAAAATACACACAAGCACAACAGATTCATACTTTTCATGCGGCTCAACCTTATTTGACTTAGATTTTCTCACAATATATTTTTTTAAATGATAGCAGACACACCGATGGTATATTCACATTCTCAAAAAGCTTCAAAGCTTTTTCAACTTCAACCCAGGTTCTAAATTCTCCAGGTTTAATTTGTTCTTCGAAAACCTTGCTAACATCAACTCTGATGGTGTTGTCTTTAACAGATTCTCTCGCAGATTGTAGCATGCTGTAAACATGAACGAGGGAGACACTTTTTTCACGATTTCTACATCTTAAGTTATTACCTGGGCCAACAAGAACAACGGCAACCAATAAATGGACTGAAAACAACTGCTTCTGCCAGCCAAACATCTTCATGTGCATGATTTCCAAAACTTCTACACATTGCCAATTCATTAACAGCTGAAAACCAACTAAAACACTGAAAGCCGCATAAATACAAGGTATGAAACAATTACACCGAAATGAATGCACTGACCTGGTAGTGAAAAGTTTCAAAACCAAAGAAATAATTCATTTTAACAGCAACGGAAACAAAAAATGAGGTGAAACGCAACATTTGTGAACAATACGCAACAAGATAAGCCGTGTATAACGGCAGGATAAACGGAACAACAAACGCGTACACGAACAGCTACGGAACTGCAATCCAACATGGCCGACTGATATGGACGAAAATGCCCTTCGAGCGTCTCACTCCACCAATGACCTTGATAAGTTATGGATAATTTCAGCCGTATTGTATTTGTGGGGATTTTGAATTACATTCAACCACTGGATTTTCATAACGAATCCAAAGATCCAATAACCTCAATATCAGTCTCCGGACCACTGGTGGCTGTTAGATTGACTTCTGAAGCCGCCATGGGAGAAAATAGATATAGGCAGTTTTTTATTGGCTGTTGGCTAGCTGGCTTTTTATTGGTCTAAAATATAAA